CCCCCGCACCGCACACACCACCACACCCCCTCCCCACACACACACCCTCCCCCCCCACGACCCCCCCCACACTGCGTTTCGGTGTGAAGACATCTGAGAGCCGTTTCCCGCCTTCTGCCTCCCCGCAGCGTCGCTGCCCCTGCGCAGCCAGCCCTCCCGTATCTGCAGGGCCGGGTCCCTGCTGGCGGCCGCGCTCGCTTTCCACCCCGTGAGCGGGTGCGGAGGCCGCGGCTGGCCGCTGGGGGGCGCGCCCCTGCCGCCAGACGGGGCTCCCGGCGCCGGGGTTTTGGGGCGAGGGGAGGGCGCGGGCCCGGCCAGGGGGCCGCGAGGGGGCGCCCAGCACCCGCCCGCGCCTCTCCCCGGCGGCCCGGGAGCTGGAACCCCTGAGAACGTCCGGGGTGCAAGGGAGGGGGGGAGCGGCTTGAGGGTCGGTGGGTGGGCGGCGACGGGGGCACCCGGCGGGGGTCAGCGGGAGGGGACCTGGGGCCCGAGGGAAAGCTCGGGGGAGGCAGACCCCAGCGGGCCCCGGGGGAGAACCGCGGGGAGAAGGGCGGCCCCCCAGCTCCCCGGACGGGCGCGGTGACGTCATCCGCTGGCCCCCCCGCTGCACGGCGGCAACCGAGGGCGCCGGGAACGAGCTGCCCCCGCCGGAGGTGCCTGCCGGGTCCCTGCCCCTTGCGGCCCTGGGCTGCCGCACGCGCCCCCAGGCGCGCTCCCGCGGCCCCGCAGCCCCGCGGCCCCGCAGCCCGGGCGTGCTCGGTGCGCCCGAAGGCCCGGCTCCCCGGGGACCGCGTGCTCGGAACATGACTCAGCGCTTTCGCGGGCTGCCGCGGGTCGGGGGAGCGGGAGCTCTCGCCGAGGGGATGGGTCCCCGTCTCCCTCTGCCCGGAGCAGGGTTCCAGAGGTGCCCCCACACGTGCCCTCCCTCCAAGTGGGGTGGATTTCTCCGGGGTAGGGGCAGGCTCAATCGTTTGCGCACTAACTTGAGAGCCCTGAAGGGGAGCCCTGACCCAGAACCTACCACAGGGCAGTGTGAAGAAAGGGGGAGCCCCTGCCGCAGGGGCTGGCAGTCTGTGGGGTGCATTGGGAAGCATCTTGGCCCTCCTTGAAACACGTGGGAATTTCGGGTGCACTGCAAGCCCGTGGGATTACAGGCCACAGGAGGGACAAAGGGATCCTAGGCTGGGCTGGGGGTCCCCGTCACCTGGGCAGATCAGGGAGACCTTGGGGAGCACAAGTGTTTGGACTGGATCTTGAAGGATGGGAAGTGGGACCCCCAGGAAGAGTGTCTGGCATCATGGCAGCTGGGGAGTAGGGAAGCCGGCAGAGTCCAGAGAGGAGAGCCCGGTTTGGCTGGCCTGGTTGGGAGTGGACGGCGGGTGACCGCCAGGGCCATACACTGACTAAGGTTGTACTGCATCTGGTAAGGAGCTTCAGCTGGGGGGCCAGGGCCAGGGACACAAGTGAGCAGGCCACTGCAGCGATCCAGGCAATGACTGACGGGACACAGGGAGAGGACAGGGAGAGAAAATGGCATGGCTCAGGTGGTGGAGCACAGAGGGGACTGTGCAGCTGCTGGCTGGGAAGGAGGGACACACGGAAGTCCTGTCTGGAACTGGCTGAGGCCAGGTCTTCCCCTGATGCTGAGGACTGAGGGATCCTGCCTCTATGGTGGGAAACCAGGCCTCTTTCCCTGACTTAATAGCTACCTTGAGGCAGGGGATTTGATGAGATGACCTTGCCTGGGCGGTCTGCAGTGCACTCCTGGGACCTACCTGGTCAGGCTCTGTGTGTTTGGTCTGTTGTGTGTGTGTCTTCCACACCCATGGAAGGTTCTTCCTGTCTGCCTGAGATCCGTTGAATGGATAAATGAGCAGAGAGGCCAGTGATGGGTGTATGCGGTTCATCATGCACATTACCTGCAGGAAATCACGTACAATTTCATGTTCAGCAATGGGCCAAGGAGGAGGGCTGGGCTAGGAGACAAAGTCTGGGGTCCCCTAGGGCAGGGAGGACAGACCCCAGCTGCCTTTCTCCTGCCCAGCTCAGAGCTCTGGCTGCTGGGTCTAGCACTTCCACTAAGTTGCTGTGAGAATTGCGGCATGCCCTACCAACCGCCTCCATCCGTTCTGCCATGCTCTGTTGAGCACATACCTTGTGCCACTCCCAACTCCTGGCAGGTGCCATGGAGAACCAGGCACTGCCCCTGCCCTCTGGAGCTCCCAGCAAGAGAGGCATACACACTGCCAATGTGGTGACATAAAATTTAGAAGCTCCAGAACTGCAGTGAGTGGAGAGGTGGCACACGTCCATACGGGTCTCTCAGCTAACAGTGCCAGGAGAAGCCAAGCCCATCTGTGCCAACATCCTCAGAGCTGTTTCTTTCTCGGTGCCTCACTTTCCTTATCTGTAGGTGACACTAGAAGGCTCCTAGGATCTCCTGCAGACTAGATGTCCATGCCTCCATGATGGAGGACATTCCAGATGCCCCTGGCCTCCCACAGAGTGGGCAAACAGACCAGACTGGTCTCTCCCCCACCCATCCACGAGTCTGGGCCTGCAGATCCTTCAGACCAGTCTTAGAGCCTGAGGTCTGCCACAGGCCCAGCCAGTTGATGTGGTGGCCTCCTGGGGCTCAGGGCTCAGCCTAAACCCTTCCCCAAAACACATGAACTCCACAAAGCAGCCGAGAGCCCCCAGGTGGGCAGTCTGTGCTGGGAGCAGGGGAAGGGCCGATTATCAGGAAGGAAGCATATAGAATCCCCAACATTTGTCCTCCAACCTGGAAGTCACGCACCAGACTACTGAGGGTGAGCAGGGAAAGAGATTGTGTTGAGGTTGTCCCCAAAACTGAGCTCTAGATCCACCTGATAAAATGGCCCAGAGTGGAGGGCGGACCGTGGGAGGTGGGCTCTCTAGAACTCTGGCCACTGGAGGCAGAATGAGTTTCCAGGGACCCCAGGCCCTGATGCTGCTCCAGCCCACCCTACCCTTCCTTAAGGACGTGCACTCACGGGGCTGTCATTGGTCTGGGTGCCAGCCTGGGAGTCCTGACATGTAACCCACCACCCTCTCAAACAGAAGCACAGAAAGAGTTAGTCTATGTTCTACCAGGATGGCAGAGTTCTACTGGCAGAAGGGCCACAACTGGGGACTTAGACCATGGAACCCTGAAACTAAGTCATGTGGGAAGTTACCCAGGTGAAGGGGGTGAGTGGAAGGCTGTTCATTCAGGGAAGAGGGCAGGAGTAGGGGACAGAGGATGGAAATTGTGATTCTGGGTAATAAGACCATCTGACTGGACAGGCGAAAAGGTGAGCAGTGAGTGGGGGCAGATCATGGTCGTGCTTAGAGGGCCTGAAGGTTCTTCCGTAGGTAAGGGAGTCACTGCAGTGTTGCTGATAGATGAGTGACATAGTAAAAAATACACTGGAAGAAGGGTCACCCTGGCCCCTTACTCTCCCCTGTGCTGAGCAAGCTGGGTGGGCTCCCACTTCCATACCTTTGCCCACTCCCCTTCCGCACCCTGCTGAATACCCATGTTTACTCTTTTAAAAATCAGAATAGTCCAAATAAGTGTGGCACATGGATCACACACGCTTATGTCTTCTCTTCCCAAACTCCATCCAAATGAAAAGGGATTAAAAAAAAAAGTGGTACTACAAAAAGCCTCGTACAAGAATGTTCATAGCAGCTTTATTCACCATAGTTCCAAACTGGAAACAGCTCATATATTCATCAAGGGGAGAACAAATAAACTCCTATAGTCATCTAATGGAATACTACTCAGCCACAAAAAAGAACAACCTGCTGATGCAACAATATAGTTAGCTTCCAAAAATAATATACTGGGTGAAAAAAGCTAAACACAAAGTATGAATGGTATGACGCTATTTACATGAAATTCCAGAATGGGTAAAACTGACCTATGGTGATAGAAGTCAAATTAGTGGTTGTAGAAAGTAAGAGAGAAGGGTCAAAACAATTTAATGTTTAGCATCTGAAAACTGTCAGAAAAAATGAAGAAAAAGAAGTGATCAAATAAAAACTTTGAGACATTCCATCAGTAGATGAATGGATAAAGAAGATGTGGTACATATACACAATGGAACACTATTCAGCCATTAAGAAGAAAACAAATCCTACCATTTGCAACAACATGGATGGAGCCAGAGGGTATTATGCTCAGTGAAATAAGCCAGGTGGAGAAAGACAAGTACCAAATGATTTCACTCATATGTGGAGCATAAGAACAAAGCAAAACTGAAGGAACAAAATAGCAGCAGTCACAGAACCCAAGAAAGGACTAGCAGTTACCAAAGGGGAGGGCAGGTGAGAAGGGAGGGAGGAGGGGAATGAGGGGTATTATGATTAGTACACACGGGGTGGGGGTGTCATGGAGAAGACAGTGTAGCACAGAGAAGACAAGTAGTGACTCTGGCATCTTACTACGCTGATGGACAGTGACTGCAATGGGGTGGGGGGGGCACTTGATAATATGGGTGAATGTAGTAACCACAATGCTTTTCATGTGAAACCTTCATAAGAGTGTATATCGATGATTCTTTAATTTAAAAAAATACAGAGGGTTTAAACAGATTATGTGTGTATATATATATATATATATAAACTTGGAGACATTTTCTCGAATTAAAAGGTCACACAGTGTGGTCCACCACAGTGAATGAAAAAGGACCGCCCCAAGAGGCACTATCGTGAACTTTCAGCACATCAGGGATAAAGCAAAGGCCCTAAATACTTCCTAAGAGGGGGAAACAAATCAAATGCAAAGAGTAAAGGTTTAGGGAGACAGCAGTCATGAATCCTGGATGTTTGCGGCCTTCAAGTTTCTGAGGGAAATTTCAAACTGGAGGCAGAAAGGGTTTATAAGCCAGTCCAACTAACAATCAAAACTGTGTACCTCCTGTTGCACCCTTTCCACAGATTTCTGGGAATAAAACAATACATAGAAATGGAAACAGGGAGGCCAATCTAGGAGAGAAGCAAAGAGAAGTAGTAAGACAACCGTGACAGCAACTGGTCTAGCCCGAGGTGAAAGACAGTTTTTAGGAGGGATGCCTACCCAAAAAATAAGTAAAATCGAGATTCCCTGTTGCACTTGGAATTTAATATTGATTCTTCTATTCCTGTATGTGCATAAAATATCCCTGGAAGTCCAACAAGAAACCAGTAATATGGTTGCCTCAGAGAAGAGCCAGGTGACCTGGGGTCAGGACACAAGGGACACTCTTTTCACTGAATACCCTTTTGTATCTTTTTCAATTTTATTGCATGTGTTTTATGGCTTATTTAAACAGGGATTAACAGAGAAGAGAATAGTATTAATAAGGAATTATAAGACCTTTTGGAACATTTGTGAAGAATTAGCCATAAGCACACAAAAAAACTAAACAAAGGACAAGAAGCGAGTCAACTACCACCTCCTGTATCCTACATGAAAGGACAGAGGGGCAGAGAACGCTCTCGGCTCAGCCCCCAGCAGGATGCACCACACTGTGACTTGTAACAGTCACATGATCCCTGGCTATTTACCAAAAATCTAACCAAATAGGGTGGAGGAAACATATCCTCATCTTCTATGTCAGGAAGTCAACGGACAAAGTCTGGGTAAACTGAAAATCCAGCTCTGGCAGTAATAATTAGATATATAGCAGAGACTACCTGAGCAACTGGAAGAATTGAAAGGCGTCAGGGTTACTTTGGGTTGTGGGACTTGAGGGACGGGCAGGGCACTTTTTTTTTATGTGATACGTCTTGTTAATTTTGCTTTTTTAATCCAAGTGTATGTAACAGTATGATAAAAAATAATTCATTTAAAAAGGAACAAGGAAGATCCACTGGCTATTAGGTGGAGAATGAAAAGCCCATTCCAGGAGCCCCAGCAGAAGATGAGGGGCCGGGTGAGGCTGGTGGTGGGGAGGCCCATCAGGGAAGATGGGGAGTCAGGCTGGGGGGGCGGGGAGCTCAAGGCACCCATGGCAGCAGCGAGGGGGCCCAAGAGGCTTCTGGGTAATGAAGGATAATGCGGCTGAGGGAAGGAACCATACCGTGTGAGCAAGGCTCTGAGAACAAAGTTCCTACCCTGGTGCCCAGATGCCTCTGAGACCCAAGAAAACCACTGTGCCTGCTCCTGGGTGTGACACTGGGGTATCAAGGCCACCCTGCTCCCCAGCTCAGTGGGTCAGGAAGGCTCTTGACCAGGGCTTGCTCATCCTTGTGTCCACACAGACTCAGGCCCACAGGCGTGAGGAAACACTGACCAGGCAGCCGGGTGATGACTGACGGGGTGTCCCTGGCTTCCCCCCCTGCAGCTGGGAGTCCTAGGGCTGGGCCTGCACTCCCACCGAGCCCTGTCAACTGGAAGCTGGAGGTGCCCGTGGGACTGGCACCTTGCAGAGTCTCAAGGTCCAAAGCTGGCCTGCCCTTGCTGGGCTTCTGTCGTTCCTCCTCGGCTCTGCTGGGTACCCACCAAGTCCCTCCAGACCTCTCTTCCCCCTTCACCCCCCTGATGCCCACTATCTGGAACCAGAGCTCCCCACAATCCCCCCCGCCCACTGCCCACTCCAAGCAAGAGGCACTGCAGAGCGGCAGCACCCCCACGCGGGGGCCAGAGCCCCCACTTCCCACCCCCACCCAGCCCCTCTTCCTCCTGCCCCACCAGCAGGCAATCACTCTCGGTTCTCCCAGCATTCCATGCCCCCTTCAGCTTCAAGCCACCTTCCCTCAGGCAGCCCCCTTCCTCCTTCAAGCACACTCAGGTCTCCCCATCTTAAAAAACCTTTTCCGGGCCCTCTACACCACGGCCCACCCGCTCCCGGGTGCCCGCGCTCAGCCTCCACCTCCCCTCCCACCGTGCTGATTACATGCCCCGTGGGAGGCCACGGGCCCTCCCGGGCAAGCCTGCTTTCCTTCCTGGGCGCACCCGCAGGTTCCGTGGGGAGGGGCCTGCCCAGAACAGGCGTGTGTGGAGCAGGGGGCACGGCTCCCTGCTACCCTGACAGTGGCCCTCCTCCGAGGCTTGGTCCTTGCCCTCGGTTCCTCTCTCCTCCCCCTGGCCCACTTCTGGAAGAGTCCATGCACCTGCGCTTTGGCTTCTGCCTTCTTCCTAGTGACCCTGGGACTGTCCCAGCCCTGGCTCTGTCGCCTGGTTTCTGGTAGCCACTCAGCAGACACCACCGTGTCCGCCATGTCACCTGGGGGGCCGCATCGGGATGCCAGCGCTGTCTCACCACCACCCCCGCCCCGCTGCGCCACTTCGTCCCCTGATTCACATGGTCATTTGCCCGTCTGTGAAGTAACACTTCTCTGCTCCTGCCCACCCCTCCGCACTGTCCTGGATCTTCATTTGGTGGCTGCACCTCTGGCTGTCCCTCCCGCCTACCTCTCCTGAGCCCTGCTGGCGGTCACCTGTCATCTCCTTGGAGGGGTCTGGCAGGAGGTCAAAGTCCAAGCCCAGTGCCGGGGGTGCTCTCTTCCAGGCATCAGCCTGGTTCTCACCCCCTTTGGCCCCCACAGGCCAGGGGCCACCATATTCCAGAGTTAGGGACGGAGCCCAGAGCACGGCGCACAGAGCCGGGGGTCAGCGGCCTTCCTGCCCCTCCCTCTTCCTCCTCCCTGATGGGATTTTTTCTCCTAAGCTCTTCCTTCAGCTAAGACCTCCCTGGGCCGAGTGTGGCAGAGGGCAGGGGGCCAGGGCACGGACTGCCCTCTCTTCATGACCCACCCCTCTCCGTGTGGAGGCTGGGGGGTCCGGCTGGTGATTCTCCTCGTCGCCTGCATGGATCCCTTCCAGGGCTGGGAGCCGCTCAGTGTTCCATCCTCCATAAAAAATAAAATTCACACATGAAACAGGAGACGGAAGGGACGTGGCTGGGGATGGAATCCTGGCTCTCGGGTGCGGCCGGTTCCACCCACACTCTGGACACCCACCTCCTTTCTCCAAAACTGGCCTTGAACTGGGGGTCCCAGTCTCCCTGGGCCTTGTGGGACAGCGCCAGCTCCTGGCCCAGCCTCCCAGGCAGTCCACACCAGGCCAGGGTTAATCTTTAGCCAAATCCCAGGCGCCGGGGGATCTTGGGCTGCTCACAGAGCTCGGCCTCAGCTTAGACCCTGGGCAGCCTGGCTTCAGGATGGTCCGGCTCAGTGGCCCCAGGGATGCAGCAGGCTGGGGCAGGGACAGCTGAGCTGCGTGACCTTGTAGGTGGGGTGCAAGCAGGTAGATCCTGTGAGTTTGGGTGGGTTAATAAAAAGTGGGGTGGCCCTGACGGCTGGTTTCTCCACATCAGCCCTGCTCCCTGGCCCTCTGTGGCCCTCAATCCTGGGACCCAGGCAGGCGCCAGGGGAGTTGGGGACCAGAAGGACAGATGAGAATGAAGAAGCCCAGGCCTCTTTCACCCCCTTCCCTCCCCTACACACCCACCCCTTGCTCACACTTGCCACCCATCCCACTCAGCTTCAGCTGGCACTCAGGGCCCCAGGAACCCCACCCAAACCCACAGGGTCAGCAAAGGGGCCTCTTGTGAACAGGGTGGCATGGGACTTGCCTCAAAGATCCCTGGGCCTGAATTCTCTCTCCCCAACCTCTGCACCCCTGGGGGTCTTCAGGAACCTTCCCAGCCCTGGGGACCGGAGAACCCCTGGGTGTTCTGTGGGCACTGGGTTTGACCCTAAGGACATAGGAATGAGCAAGACAGGCAGGTAATCTGCCCACAGGGCTCTGCAGACTCCTGGGCCTCTGAGACTGAACAGGCAGAGGAGGGTCTGAACGCTGCTGCGCTCGCCCTGCACCTCCCCCTGCCCAGCGCAGGGGCCACAGCTCACTAGGCCAGTGGGAGGGAAGCGGGATGCCGTGTGGGGATGGGGACAGGGCTTAGTGCCCAGAGTGGGAGGCTGGGCGAGGGGCAGACGGTTGGCAGCCTTTCAGCCTCAGCTGAATGCCCTGGGCAAACAGCAGCACAGGGAGGGCTGCTGGCGGTGGGCTGTGCTTCAAAGGGCCTTGGGAGCCATGGGTGGGGTGGGTGGGGTGATCGAAGCAGGCCCTCCCCACTTCCTGGGACTCTTGCTCTCCTGGGAGCTCCGTGAGCAGCTTCCTTCAAGGGGCAGGAGGGGCTGGAGCTCAGACCCAGGCTTCCACCCCACTGCCCAGCAGTGTCAGGCAGGGGGGCTGGGCTCTGCAGGAGGTGGGGGGCAGAAGCCCTGCCAGCCCTCCTTGGTTAATGTGCACCCTGTCTCTTCCTGCCCCGCTGCTCGGGTTGGCTTCTGGGAGACGGTGCCTTCCAGCCTGCTCCTGACGCATGCAGGGCAAGTTCAGGCCCCAGCATGCCCGTGGTGGTGGCTTGGACCTGTCCCACCTGGGAGCCCCAGGATGGGATGGACACGTGTGTCCCAGTAGGCAGGTCACTCCCCCAGGGCCTCGGTGCGTGACACGTTGGCTCACACTGGTCAGTGCGGCCCCAGGACGGGGGAAAGCCCCCTCCCCTGCCCCAGGGGCCTCCCCTCCCTGTCACCTGTGTTTTCCCCCTCATCACACAAGAGTGTGTCAGCAGGACCTGGGGCCACTCTGCTGCCCCACTGTTGATGCAGGCCCCTCCCCACACCCCCACCTCGGCAGGCCCAGGCCTGCCCCATGGGGCCAGCACTCTGCCCCCTGCCAGAGTCCAGATACACCTGTTTACCTTTGGGCCTGGGCCCAGGATGGAAGTGCACCTGACTCCTGACCACGTCTCCCCCACCGGCCCTCACACACCCTCTTTCCCTCCAGGCAGCTCACCTTCTTCCTGCCCCAAGCCTGGGTTCCCTGTGTTTAGGTGGGGGCGGGGCAGAGGGCCAGGGCCTGTTTGCTCCAGGACAGCACGGAGTGCAGGGCCAGGGGAGCTGGGGCCTTCCAGATAGCCCCAGGGTCACTGGATGCAGGTGCGGCCTGTTCTGCGGAATAGGATGGGTTCTGGGCTGGGATGCGGAGGCCCGCAGGGTCTGAGCTCCTGCCCTCCCCCCATCGCACACCTGGTTGGGGGATACATGGGCGAGGGGGGAGGGGAAGGTGGCAAGCCACAGAGGGGGGGCTCCTTGCTTTGGGAAGGGGCTGCCCCCAACACCCAGGAATGAAGTGGTTCAGGCGCTTGTCACCTCAAAGGTGGGGATAGAAAGGGATGAGGGAGGGACCTGCTCAGAGAGCTTGAGTCATGGGCTCAAAGCCACACAGCTCAGAAAAGATAGGACCACTCAACACAACACGTGGTCCTGAATGGGTCTGCGGGAACAGAGAGGAGCATTAGTGGGGGGACAATCTGCAAAATGTGAATGGGGTCTGCGGTGAGCCAGGATCACCAGGTCAGAGTGAGCTTCCCGATTGCAAGGGTGATAGTAGGGTTATGTGTCCTCATTCTAAGGAAATACACACCAAAGTGTTCATTCTAATGGGGCATCATGTCTGCAGTTTACTGCCAAATGGTGCAAAATGTGTTTTGATTGGGATTACATTCAATCTATAAGTAAATAGGAAGTAAACAAACATCTTTTTCAAAAAGCCATCCAGCCCTGGGTCAGGCAGGGTTGGGAAGAGGAGGGGCCCTGGACTGCAGGCTTTCTCTGCTCCCCCACCCCACCTGTGAAAAGGCAAAACGCAGGCAGAGCCCTGCGCCCCAGCCCCCTTCAGAGGACCCTTTTGGCCATCGCTGCACATTGGAAGCATCTGGGGACCTTAAGAATGCTGATGCCTGGGCTGCACCCCTGGGACCCTTGTCCTGGGCGTTGGGATGTTCAGTAACCCCTGGGTGATTCTCCTGTGCAGCCAAGGGTGAGGACCCCCGCTCGGCTTCTTCAGCCGTTCCTTGCCACAGTGGGCAGTTCAGCCAGTCCCTGCCCTTGCCCAGCGCCCACCTCCCCACCCCCTGCATGGGCCTAGGCAGACGGCGGCGGAGGGAATAGTGACACACCCCATCTGTCAGTCCAGGACGAAGCCCCTCTGGCAAGGGCTGGAAGCTGATCCTGGGGCCGGTGGAGAAGGATGGAGGCCCCTTGTGTCCCCAGTGCTGGGGACAGTGAGAGGAAGGCTGAGAGGCCGTGGGGAGAGGGTGGGAGGAGTTGCTTGGGGGTGAAGGCAGTCTCAGAGTGGAGGCAGCCCCCTCAGCCTGCTGTGGGGAGGGGAAGGGGGCCCTAAACCCGCTGGGCCCGCAGTGTGTGCCCTTCTGAAGTATTTGGAATGATTAGCAAGTGAAAGCCGCAAGTTAGCCTGGGGAATGCCAGGTTGGCCTAGGGCCACCCTCTAGTGAAGGGAAAGAAAGGGGCTTCGGGAGAAGGCGTCAGTGGAAGCTGGACAGGGTTGTGTGGGCAAGTGTGTGTGTGTGTGTGTGTGTGTGGTGTGCACAGGGCAGGGCTGGGGATGTGGTGGGGAGTGGGAGCTACTGTGCTTGCAGGGCTGGGAGGGGGCTGGGTGCAGAGATTGGTTCCTGGCAGAGCTGGGCGAGGGGACCGAGAGGGGCTTTTGGGTACCACCCAAACATACAGTTCCTGGGCCTAGTTCCCCATCGGAACTCCACTAGGCTGGCTGCTCATGGGGGGAACCTGCGGTGTGAACACGGAGGTGGGGAGGGTCTGGATTCCCCAACCTCCCTGGTGGCCTTCCTCCTCCTCAGGCCTGCCTTGGGCTTGGGAGGAAGGTGCTGGGCACTGGGTGAGCCACACCAGGGTGGGAAGTGGGGCCCCCGAGCTGGGGCCCTCTGACCTCACACCCTGTCCTTCCAGGAGAGGAACGGGGGAGGGAGGTGCTGGAGGCAGGCCCAGGCCAGCACCCAGGCGAGCCCAGGCAGGCCCTCCTGGGGGGGCAGGCCCTCCTGGGGGGGAACTCAGGAGGCAGCCCTGGGCATGCTCAGCCTTTGTGAGTCCCCGGAACCAGGCAGGGGGCTGCGCCTCCTTTGTTACCCATCCCTGGGGACTGTGGGTGCTGTTTCTCCCATTGTGAAGATGGAGGGCTGAGGCCCAGGCTGCAGGGGACCCCAAAGGGCTGCTTCTCAGTCCTTTCCTCCCTGGGGACACAGAGGTCATGCGCAGTTCATCAGAGGGACTCTTCAGTACCTCAGTGCCCCTCATCTTCCTCCCAGCCATCCTCCTGGGGCAGTGAAGAGGGCCCCCCCCAAAAAACCTACCCCTCAAGATTTTTCCCAAAGAAAGCTGTAAGTAGGCCCATTTTAGGATTAAAAAATGTTTATTTTTAAAAACTTTTTGTTGTAAATAACTTTCCATGAAAAAGGTTAAATTGCCCCATGAGGCAGGAGGGTGGATGTGGGACACAGCCCCGGGGCTCAGACACTCCCCAACAAGTGCAGGCAGGGGCCAGCCCCCTTTCCTGGTCCTAGTGTTTCTAGCAAGATCAACAGCCCAGCAGGTTAAGCCTCAGCTATAGCTACACTCACTACATTAGCCTGTCTGTCCCCTCCCTTCTGCAGCTTGGCTGCCCCTGCCTCCGATCTCCCCAGAACCCCAGCTCCCCGCTGCTCGGCCTCAGGCTACCCCACCTCCAGGATGGGGCCTGGACACCCCAGGGGCCTTACAAAATCTCGTTGCCCCCCCTGGAACCCTGATCTCCTGTCATCTTCTCTCTCTGCCCCTTCCCCCAGCTCCACCCCATCTACTGCGCCCCAGCCCCAGGGAGGCTTTGCTGGGAGAGGCCTCCAGGGGGTTAATTTGCTGTCGTCTAATTAGCATTTGTTGTACCTGGGAACTTTCTCTGGATAGAGACCTGGGGAGGAAAGCAAGAGAGGGGGGGGAGTGAAGCTGAGGGGCTCTGGGGTGGGCCCAGCTTAGCCAAGGCCCCCAGACCCTGTCTGCAGCTCTCAAAGTGCAGGGCCCTTGGCAGGTCCCTGGAGCTGGGAAGATGGGGATCCATGAAACACTGTGTATATGGGGGGCTGGGAAAGGGAGGCAGCAATTCTGATACTGGGCCCCGTTCTCAGCCTCCTGGGCTGGAATCTGAGGGCAGCCTGGGCTAGGGGCCATGGGGCCTCATGGGGCCAGCCTCAGGAGACCTGGTTCAGCCCCTGCCTGGGCAGTAGGGTGTCCCTGGGCCTGTGTTGGGGGGCAGTCTGAGCCCTCAGTTGGGTGCTGTAGGGAGGTGGGATGGGGGCCTGGCCTCTTACAAGAAGGCGCCCACACTGGCCCAGTCTTGCAGGTCGGTGGCCAGGGTGGCGTCCCCGGCCTCAAAGAGGGGCTCTGGGGGCAGGCAGCCACTGCTGCTTTCGTCCCAGGGGTGCTGCAGGAAGGACGTAGCCAGAAAGGTCTCGTCGAAGTCCAGGCTGTTGGCAGCCTGCTCCGCTGGAGGCCCCCAGGTAGTGGGGCAGTCGATGTGGCGGCCGTGGACAGTGAGGTCCACGTCCCCATGAGAGGCAGGGCTCAGCGGTGGGCTCAGTTCCAGGGCCCCCAGTGTGCCCAGCTCCCCGCCCAGGGTGCCGGCATCAAAGATGGCCTCCCAGTCAAAGTTGCCTTTGAGGGGTTCCAGCTCGCACTGCTCCTCGTGGGTCAGGAGCAGGGTGCTAGGAGGACGTGGGACCTTGGCCACCCGCTTGGGCAGTGGCTGTTTGCGCTTATGCCCGAGCCTGCCCGCGCCTGCAGCCCAGCCCGCCTCCCCGGTGGCCTCCTCGAACTCCCGCAGCAACTGCTGGGCCTCGGTGTTCACGGTCAGCGGCCCAGCCCACGGAGCGGGCTCCTGCGCAGCCTGGCGGGCAAAGGCTGGGTGGATGTGGACCGGGGGCAGCCGCCGCTTCTTGAAGGCGCCGCTCAGCAGCCGCTCGGCGTACTGGGGGTCAATGCGCCAGAAGCCCCCCTTGCCGGGCTCATCCTTCTCCCGGGGCACTTTGATGAAGCACTTGTTTAGGGACAGGTTGTGGCGGATGGAATTCTAGGCAGGGGTAGAGAGGAGAGAGAGGACAGCTGGGTGAGCTGGAAGGGCCGGCAATGGGGGGCTCCTAATGCTCCTCTACCACCTCCTGCCATCATCTCCCTGACGGGGGCGGGGGGGCAGATGTACTGCTCTGACTGTGAGACTCTAGGACACCAGCCACAGGAAACCAGGAGCTGGAGTGCTGTTGGGGGCTTTTGTTCCCTGTTGCTGGGATATCTGCCTGCTCAGTCATCCGAGCCCTGAGCCACAGGGTGGCTCTCAGTGCCGCCCTGTCCTGCCCTCCCTCCCTCACCCTGCCGCTTGCAGCCTCTGGCCAAAGGCCTCAGCTCCCCCAGGGCCTGGACAGCTATTCCCCTCCGCCTGGGCCTGGCCGCCCTCTCTGTTTGTGAAGTAAGTTGTTTTGGGGCAGGGGGACTGGGTGTGAAGAGCTGTGTGCCTGAGTGTTTGGAGGGACAAAGTAGGGGGGGATCTGATGACTCTCCTTGCTGAGCCGCTGCTGGCCTGCACCCTCACCCCCTTCCTTCTCCCACTTAGGCTGTGAGGCCTCAGTTGATTGTTACCCAGCCAAGAGCATAGCGCTCATTCCTGGGGCCCGTTTCCTGCAGCCCAAGCTTCCGGTTGGCATAGGGTGGGGGTCTCCACTTTCTCACCAAGGCAGAAATGGCACTTGCCCCAGAGTCATGGCCCAAGCAAATGTGGAAGCATCTGGGACTGTCAGCCTGCAGCCTGCCCCCTGAGGGTACTCCAGCGAAGGGGCTGGGCATTTCTGGGGCCTGTGCTCCAGGCAGCGTGACTCTCAGGGCGATGTCTGCCCGGCCTCAAATCACCACCTGCCTGGCTCATTCCTAGGTGTGCAGTCTTGTCCAAACCACGCTGGGGCATTGCAGTTTGGGGCCCAGATGGCAGGGCAGGTGGGTGGGTAGTGCCCCTTGGCAAGGCTGGGGTGTTTACGCAGTGGCCCGGGCCCTTTGGCTGCTCTGCGCCACGTTCTGGAGCCGTGGAACATGAAGCCAGTGCTGTAGGGAGAGCCCCTGTGGAAAGCACCTGGCTCAGGTAATTGTCCCCCCAGGGAGGTTGACTGAGAAGAGGGGGAGGAGAAGAGGTAGAAAACTGGGGAGAGGTTGGGGTGAGGGGTTGGGACAATATCTTTAGGAAGGACCCCTCCACTGGTACATAGCTGCCCTTCACACCCCAGAGCAACTCCCCTCCCCGCAGCCCAACTGCAACGAGCAGGACCAGGACGCAGAGCCAGGCTGGGGCCATGCTGCAGCTTCCACTTCCGAGTCCAGCCCTGACAAACTGTCCTTGGGCAGGGCAGTGTCTAGGAATTTTAGGACTTGAGACAAAAATGTGTCCCTCTATCCATCACCCTCCTCTAGGAGACTATGTCCAGGCATAGTCTGACCCTGGCCTTTGGACTGGGCCTGCTGCTTTCCCCTTGAACTTCAGCATTCCCACCCCTAAAGCCCTCTGAATACCCTCCTTCCTCCCTCTGTGAAGTCAAAAGAGGGGCAATTCCAAGCACTGGGCTCCCTCGAGGCCCTTCCTCAAAGGTCTTCCACTCTTGGGGTCCTGACTGTACTCCACCTACTTCACATGCGTACCTGCGACGTGAGTCCAGTCTGCGTGGGCTTGGGGGAGGGAGGGAGCGGACCCCACGCGCGACTTCCCTACCTGCCAGGTGGGATCAGCATGGCGGAAGTAGCAGAAGTTGTCCGTGATCCACTTGTAGATGGCCGACAGGGTGATCTTGGTGGCCTTGCTGGCCTGCATGGCCATGCAGATGAGCGTGGCGTACGAGTACGGTGGCTTCACGTGCGGGTTGGTGGAGTAGTCCACGTCGTCGGGGGGCGGGGCCTGTGGAGGTGCGCTCCTCGACGTGCAAGACGCTGTGGGCTTCCCCGGCGTGTGCGGCTGCCCCAGGCAGGCGGGGTCGGCCGCCAACGGGGACCCTGGCGCTGCCAAGCCAGGTGCCTGGTGGTAGCCGTGGGGGTCAGTGCCCCCCGGGGGCAGGGCAGGGGCCTTGGCGTTGAGAATGGAGAATTCCTGCAGCCACTGTAGGCTGGTCAGGCTGTCATCCAGGGCGTCGGGCTCCTCCAGGCTGCCCTCCGGCCCTGCCTCCTCCGTCGCCCCTGCTCCCGAGAGGCGTAGCCAGCTCTCCGCCATGTCTGCGGGAACTCTCCGAGGGGTCGGCCAACATCCACGGGCTGAGCCTACGGTGGCCCGCCACGCTCTCCCGCCCGTTGACTCCCGCGGTTCCAGTTACACGGCCTCCCGGAGGCGCGCTTCCATCCCGGGACCCGGGGGTAGCCTCCTCCGATTATGCAGAATGTTTGTCGTGCCTGAGGGGACCATAACGGGAGCTGAACATTCTTTCCCCACCCCTGAGGGCACAGGGGGTGCGAGGGGGAGGTGCCTCTAAAATCGTCCCCTAAACTGGGAGGATCTGGGAAAGGGGATCAGTGTCCGAGGGTCCGACGGCCACAGGGCCCGCCTCGTCCTTTTCCTCTTGGAGGTTCTAGAGATTTTATTAGCCAAATGAGAGAAGAGGACAGGGGCATCCGAGGCTACTCCCTTCTCCAGGAGAGAGGGAATGCAGAACCCCCCTACAATAAGTGCAAACGGGGCGAGGGAGCCCAGGTGGGCAGTACGAAGGGGCGGAGGGGTGGGGGAGGTCGTCTCATCTGTGAAAAGGGATATTAGGATAGGGGGGTCACCGAAAAGGAAGGGAAAGGGACAGAGTTATAAGGGGGTGGGAAATAAGTGCCCCCTAAACTCCTCAGATGTCGATTCCCAGGCCCATCACTTCCGTCGAGATGACGCGAGGGCAAGCTAGTACCGGCACCCTTCCTTGCTGCGGCCGCGGCCCTCCCAGTCCCTTACCTGGCTCAGAGCGCAGCCCCGGCCAAAGGGAGGTTCTGGAAGAAGTTCTTTCCACCTACTGCGGCTCTTTAACCCCAGCTCAAGCGCCCCGCTGGCGCCCCTCGTCGACCTCCAGCCCGACGGTGCCTCTGAACGTCGGCGGCCCAGGGACCGGTATTAAGTAGCCACTGCAAAGGCTTCTCCTGCTGCCATGGAGACGCTCCGCCCCCATAAACAGCTTCCGCTGCTGCCATTGGTCAGCACGTCTCCAAGGAGACCGCGGCCCTGGCCGCCCGCTCAGTCTGAGTCTCCTCGAGCTCCCTCTTTCGGTTGCCCTCTCCCGCGCCACCAGGCCCCTACCCGCCACCGAGGCCCAGCGCTGCGCATTCCCGCCCGAGGGCCCCGCGCAGGGCTCCGAGGAGCGCGAGACTCGGCGCTCCCGCGCGAGGCCCTCCCCTCGCCCCCGCCCCCGCCCGTCCGGTCGGCGGATCCCCCGGCGCGGCGGGCCGAGGCTGCAGCGGGCTTCGGCTCGGGAACCGAAGGCTTGCGGGTGTCCTTTCCTCTCCTCTGGACTGCGAGCGGTACTTCCTCAAGCTTCTGTGGCCTTTCCCTCTCCCGACCCAGAGTGTCGTCTCCCGTGCACGCTGGAGGCTCCTGCCTCCGAGGCTACCTGCCGCCCAAGTCCGCAGAAACGGCCGCACAGACCGCAGACACACCGAGACGAGGAGGGTACTCCATTGTGTCCCGGTAATCGCTCCCTCCCCACTCCTATCCTCAGCAAGGTTCCCGGAAACTGACATTCCGGAGGCTTCTGGGGAAGTGCTCTCCCTCCTTTCCTGATATCTGAGGAGGCAGAAGCCACAGACTTGCCAAATTCTCCAAGTGGGGTCATTTGCCCTGTTAGTTTCACCAGCCTTTAAGTGACAGGGACTAAGGGTAGAGGGACACCGGGTACTGTGTCTGGTCCTCTGCCCTGCCCTTGGCCTCCCTCCTGTCACCAGCTTTACCGCTCTTCAATTATTTAAGAGCTGCAGTGTTGGAAGTTCTCCGGTGGTATGGTGAGGGTGGGGCTGAAGGCTCCTTCCTTAGGCCTGGGCCCAGGGATGGCACATCAACCCCCACCCACCCAAGAGCAGGTCTTCCCTTGTCCCTTGCGCTCTCCTACTCCATCACCTCCAGATTCTCGAGTAAAAATACTTAGAAGTGCTGGAGAAGTCAGACACTTTCACAAATAAGCCAACTACACAGTTAACTCTCCTTCCCTTGTAAACAGTTTTATTCATTTTAAGAATCATGCAGCAATCCATAAATATAGCATCCTTGATGTCCCCACTGTAGCGTACCCATGAGTGTACTCCAGGGATTGAGAGGGGTACACAGGGGGCACAAACAGTACACACACAGATCCTACAGCACAGCGAGCAACCAGCATGCCAAGTTCAGGCGGACAGGACCCTAACTCTCCCTAGATGAAACTGCTTACGGGGTGTGGGTCTGTGCCCAACTGGGTAGCAAAGGAAAAACAGCTCTGAGAAGGCCAAGGCCAAGCAGGGCATGGGAGAGCTCAGACCTGAGCATGGCAGGAAGGAACCGCACACCTCCAGCTGCTCCGTGGCCTCGTGTGAGAAGGCAGGCCCCATCCCACTCCCTCTGGGTCAGCTGCTTGTCACATGACTGTCCCCATATGAAGGAGTAGGGCAGTAGGGTTGGCAGCTGCCCCGTTCCCTGATCAGGCTGAGGACCAACCTCTTTGGATGGGATATTTCTGTTTGCCAAAGAGCCAAATGAGAACAAAGAGGGTGTGTGTGTGCATGTGTGTGTTTACTTACGTATGTGAAAGAGAGAGAGAGAGAGAGAAATAGGAGTAAGGGCCATTTCTAACTCGGGTATGTCTTGGTTGTGGAAACAAAGCCTTGAGGAATCTTTCTGAGCCTCTGCTGAGAGGAGGGACACAGACCTTTCAGAAGGGGTGGATTGTGGCTTCCTCTTAGGGGTCCTGGCCACTATAGCTACTGTTTACCTGCATCTCCTTCATCTCAGGTAACAGTACACTGTGAACACTACCTGCCGGGAGCAGAGGCGGGCTCTGTGCCACCACCCCAGGCCAGGGGAAGCTGCCCATTCCCTGGCGCTTCTGGAGCTTAAATGTCAAGGAAATCAGGAAATGGGGTTATTGCTCCAATCTCAAGTACGAAAGGGGCTGTACATAAGAATGTTGGGAGAAGGGAAGGACAGTAAGTTGGGCCAGAAATAGAGTTCACTGTGGGATTTCCGAGATGCTGGACCTGGGTGCTCAGGACAGAAGCTTAGATTCAGGCTTGGCTCAAGTCACGTCTGTCGAGAAACGGTCCTCCCTCACCAGAGCAGGACATGAGCCACAACCACTAGGCAGTGCCAAGGAGCCACAGTGAAGGTGCAAAGGATGCCCTGGGCACTGGGCTCTCGTTGAGGTCTTGAACATGGCCCTGAAGAGCTCTTCTAGGGTAATGATTGCAAATACTAAGGCAGGCTGTCATGACGGGCATGGCCTATGGCTCTGCCACATCTCAGCCTCACAAATTACCGTGCCCAACTTTGCTTCCCAATCTTATGTTCCACCCAACAACCACTTTCCCAAAAGCCAGCAGATGACACATCCACCCAAGAGCTACGTGGGATCCACTGATAACACTAGTGTTGAGGCAGCGGGACCTCCTGACAGCTTCTTATCTAGCCTTGAAGTTTCAGGCTCTAGTTTACCTGCCTTATACTGGGCTAGGCCCATGATTTGAACGTCAGTATCTCTAAATCTCTAACAAGCCTATGGAAGGCATTACATCCCTTTCCCCCATCAGGCTCAGAAGATCTGGAAGGCAGGAGAGGATAAAGTTGGGTGGGGAGGCTTCCAGACTACTGCTGGCCCTGGCTCAGCACCCTCCACCACTTCCCTTAGGGCTCCTGGGCACCAGTCTGAGAAGTGCTGGTCTAACCCTCTCAACCTATTTCTTCCAACTATTAAAAAAAGGGGTGGAGATGGGGACAACAGGGATAAGAATGCCACTCTACAGGGTTGCTGCAATGAGATGTGATAATGGCTGACAGCTCCCAACCCTGTGCTTGGCACATAAAGGTGGCCAAAAAATGTTTTTTTTTGAAATGTCAACTTAGGATGGAGTTCCAGGCCTTCATGAATGCCCCTGATCATAAGTGCCGGGGGAATTCTCAGACTCAAGGCTGCCTCCCAGGAAGACAGATACTGAGGTACAGGAGACTAGTTCTGCTACCAGAAGCAAGCACTGCTTTTTCAGCCAACCATTTTTGTCCTTGCAAAAGGGCCCTCGTAACACTTTTGGGAGTTAACTCCTCTTATAGTACAACCTGGCTGTCCCTTCTCACAGGAGTCCTGCCAAACATGTTTGTGATGAAGCTGCCAAAATGCCACATCTTCTTGGTTTACCTGCTAAAGAGAAAAAAGATGCACAAGAAACTTCGGGGGGACCTTGACTCCACCTGAGGTTAGGACATGGTGGGAACATTCCAGAGAGTCTCTGCAAAGGGTCTTGTGAGCTGTAGTTCATTGAGTGGCTTCAGCCCACAAGAAGAGAGGAGGCTTCTCTTCTGGGAAGGGAAGGGTCACAGTTACAGAGGTGAAGCTGGGAGAAAGAGAAGGCTGACCTCAACGTCCAGCTTTCACATAGGTGTAAAAAGTCCCCGTGTGTCTTGCTGAGGGTGCCCAAGAGGCCAGTGGTCCAGTGAGGCCAGGATGGAATGTGAGGGCAGGAGGGGGGCCAGGGGCAGGGGCCGGGGCCCTCAGACGGCCAGAGGACCCCACACACAGGGCCTGTGCTTAGGGTCCTCCAGGCTGCCCGATGATAAGCGCTGGCGCTGTGTGTTCCGACGACTGGCAATGTTGTCATCAGCCTGCCAGGTACCTGGAGAAGAGAAAAGGAAGGTTTTAGGGGCCAGATCTTTGGCCAGCTCCAGATGGTGTCCTCAGTAGTGCAGCCCAGGACTTCAGCACAGAAGCCAGCAGGATTTGTGTTACCTGAAACTCCCATGCATGTGCGAGCCACAGCACGTGGGGGAGAAGTGGGCGCCGCGAGGTGCAGAGGGCTGCTCCTGCCCCACTGGGCCACTGACAGAGCGGGACATGAGAGAAGTATCTTGTTTTGTGAACTTGCCCTCTAATCACTTCTGTATCTTTGTTTGGAAGTTTGCCCATATGTTACAGACAGGGACAAAAACACTGGGCTGGGCTGAGATTTTCATGGGGGCAGGAAGCAGCGGAGGAGAGTGAGAAGAGCTCGTTAATTTGTGCCTGGAGTGCCGGTGTTTGCTGTGGGGGTCTGGGTGGAGCAGGAAGCACTGGGAGCCTGCAGGGTGCCAGGGACAGAGGATGTGGGGGAGGCCAGGCGCTGGCTCTGCACCCCTCCCCCACACCTGTGTCTCATCTCGCGCTGTGCGCCCCCAGTTCCCCACCCTCTCAGCAGCGAGCAGAGGTGTGCTATCAGCTGGGGCCACCGACCTGGGGACCCACTAGCCCGAGGGCCTTGGGGTGCCACAGGCACCCCCACCGAACTCATCCACCCTTAAGCCGCCTCCCTTCCTGCTCCGGGAGCGCCAGCTGCCCAAGCCGGAAGCCCCTTCTTGGCTCCTCTCTCTCCTTCGCGCTGCCTGATCCAGGGCTACTGCCTGTTTGCCTGCCTCCTAGTTACGTCTAAATGTTCACTCAGAAAGCCTGGGCTTCGCTCTTGGCTTGTAACTTACCGCCTGTGGTGCTGGGCAGGGCGGTGGGGCCGTGGAGCCCGGCCCTCCCAGCCATCGAGGGGAGATGCATACTCACCCCACTCTGTCTGCACCGGAGGGAACGAGCCGGTCTGCTGAGGGCTGGGGGCCTGGGAGAGCGAGGAGCAGGCCCCGCACCCCACCCCAGCTTGCCTCTGTTGCCCGCCCAGCCCACCGACCAGCTCATTCCCTCCGGTGCAGAGAGCCTCTTCTGAGATCACAGGCAGGGTCCCGGCTGCCACACACTCAGGACAAAGACCTAACTCTCCGCTCCTATGGCCCATGTACCTCCTGAGCCACCCCTCCTAGTGTCCCCCTCACAGGCCCCAAGCCCGCGAGGCCCAGTACGTCCCAAAGTGACCCCCAGCAGCCTGGACGACCACCCCACCTTTCACAGCATGGAAACTGCTGAATTCTTCAACTCCTCCACTGGCATGTGGCCCTCGGGGCAAGGCTGGCCCAGCGGAGGACTCACTTGTGGAAGGGCCAGCCCGTGGGAGGGGTGCCTGGGCTTCACTGTGTTCAGGTTTGAGGGGGCCGCTCACAATGAGGTCAGCCTCAGGCGAATCTTGGGTCCAGCCCCAGATGAAACACTTTAATGGCAGGAGCACTAGGATTAGGTGGGCATAAACTGCTTATTTCCTGTAAAGTCCCGGTGTGACAATCCATCAGAAGGCTCTGAAAGTAGTTTGTGGAGGTGGACTCCCTGGGGTACAAGCAAGTGGGGCAGGGAATTCTTAGGTATTTCCCTTGCCCAGATGGAATTTGGGGCTCTCCACTCCTTGGGGTACTGGAGTCTGGGATGTGGGTCAAAAGAGCTTCTCCCCTGTAAGGGTGACAAAATGAACAGAAGGCAAAACTGCCTTTAAGTTAGGAACCCCAAAATAAAATGACCTGTTTGTCCACTTAAATAATTTGGTAGATCTCATACCTATTCCTCAATGTTTATGGGGCAGGATTCCGGAACTGCCGCTGTTTGGTAGGAAAGACCAAAAGCAAATGGTAAACGAGAGAAGACACACGTGCATATACAGAATAAAAGCAACACCAGGAAGGCCGGACTGACAGGCTGTCTGGCTCAGGATTCACATAGGCTCTGCTACAGCCCCACCAGCCTAGACTCCTCAGCCAGCACAGAAACCTGGTTCCCTCCATGACAGCCTCAGGACCCAGCTGAAGGCCCTGCTCCGTCTGGCTCCCGGATCCACTCTGTGGGGAGAGGAGATCTCACGGCGGTAAGGTGCCCTTTCCCGCAAACAGCTGGGCCCTTGGCCGAACTCGGCTGCTGCCCTCCTCACCCTGCATGGGGGGCAAGCCTGGTTGTAGAGAGTGAACCCAGAACACTGAGGAGGGCTCCCTTCGGAGTGCTACCATTCCGTCCAGCCCCTCGGCCAGAAACTGAGCGTGGAGATTCAAAACGCTTCGTGGGAGATAGAAAAAGGTGCTTTCCGTTCAATCCTCATTTTGGCCAATGAGAATCTGGGGAGAGAAGAGACCTCCGGAGGCCCGATTCGGGCAGCACGTCTGGGAAATCGTGCATATCCTGCCTCTACCAAGCCAGTCATGAAATTCAAGGGCCATAAGGAGTGGAAAGGCCTCCTGGAGCTCCTCTTCAGGGGAAAAAGAAACTTAATTCAGAGTTTTCTTTAGCGTCTGTTAGTGTGAACTTTCTCTCTCAATCTTGGGTTATGAGGCCCGAGGAGAGGAGTGAACTGAACTCCAGGTCTCCATAGATGCTTTCAGATTCCACGGGCAATGCTCAGTGTGGTCATCTAAAAATATATTTGTGTTTCCACCAACAAACCCAAATTATCTTTGCTTTTCCCATGACGTACACTACCCAGAGCCTGTTCACAGAGTTTTCACCGGGCCCCTGCACTGCCACCCGTGTGGCGGTCCCATAATTCCTTGGAGCCACATGTCCTTCCCATGGCCTCCCGATTCCAGTCTGCTCAGGGCTTGTGCCTACCAACTTCGATTCCCTCTTTTTGAGGACCTTTTAGAACAATCTCAGAACATTAACGCCCCCCCACCCAACCGACTGCCTTGGTCTTGGGGCCAAGAAAGTTTGGAAGCTTCCTAGGCTGAGGGGACCTAGAGTGGCACAGGGGCCCTTTCAGCCATACCCACATGTGTGGGGAGGATGGGGATGGGACCGCATGGCCCTCATCACAGCAGGGGGACTCTGTGTGAGCAGGGGAAGGGGGCAAGTGGTCCAGGGAGGGTGGGATGTTCCCCGGGCTCTGTGAGGGGAGTGGCCTCCACAAGACGGAAACCCTCTCCAGCAGAGACCAAGTGCCTTGAGGGGCTGTCATGGCACCGTTGAAGCTGGAGGAGCCAAGCCTGCCTGCAGGGGCCATTTGAACTTACAGCTGAGAGCAAAGAGGCCTATTTATTCCACATGACCTACCAAAGTAGACACTCCTGTCTTTGACTCAACAGATGCTTCTGAGCACTTTGCTACCAGTGTTATGCCAACAGACAGAGAAACATTTACCAAGGGAGCAAACCTGCTTTCTCTGTCCCGTCAGAGCCCTGAGACAGCTGGTGAGGGTCAGTGGGACACCTCAGGCACTTAAACGAGTTCTTCACCCCACAGCCCTCACCAGCTTTTGTTCTCAGGCCCGGCCTGAACTGTGAGCCCTGTTTAGTCTCAGAATGGCCGGCTCCCAGGTCCCTGCAGGAACCTGGGGCCCCTTCTCCCAGGCTCCCTCCCCTCCCAAAGTCCCCTAAGTGGAATGAATACCCACAAGCAGCTGACTGGAGGGAGTTAGGAGGAGGAGGAGGCAGCAGGAACAAGCACAGTCTCCACCTGCATGGCAGGAACCCGCTGAACCAGCTCCCAGCAGCCCCTCTGCCAAGAGGCCCGGGTGGGGTCATCTGGAGGGAGGCAGGAAGCGCAGTGAGACGACAGCTGGAAGGGGCTGCCACAGACGCAGGGCTGTGTGAGGACAGAGAGGTCCTCCTCCCCAGTGAGTGACCAAGGGCGCCAATTCCAGACACACCCTCCCATGACCCTTGCCACAGAAGCATCCCCATTTTTGTGGAGTGGGGATTAATATATTCTCACAAATATTTTTTTCTCGGAAAATCTCAGTATATTGAGGCCCTTGTCAGTTAGGAGTGGAAACCTGAGCCAAAGCCCCTGGGATGCGGACACGCCCAGCAGGCCTGGCACCGGCCCAGCAGATCAGGGGGACAGTGCTGGCACAGAGGGAACACGGACTTCCACACAAAGGCTAGATAACAGAAATGAGTTCAAAAATAAACAAAAGACAGAAAGAGTCACATTTGGCAAAAAGACATGGAAAACAAATGGGCAGACAGAAGCGAGGAAAGAGTGGGAAGGCAGGCAGTGAACCCCGGGCCCCACGGCTGGGTCTGCGCCTGTCTCCCACCATGGGCAGGTGGGCTGACGCCACTCTTGGCCTCGCTGGAGAGAAGAGACCTGGGCAGACCGAAGAGGAAATGGCCCAGAAGTCCTCGGAAGGCTGGAGAGAGCAAACACCTGGGAATGACGGTCCCCTGCCACGAGCCTAGTTGGGGCAGAGTGTGAGCGGCCCGTGTCTTCCACAGGCTGATGGAGAGTGGCAGCCCCAGGAGGCCACGGCCCTCCAACACGTCTACCACCTCACTGGGCGAGCCAAGCACTGGACCAATGACGCAGTGTGGCTGTTCTGAAGGTGAACCAGTCGGTCTTTATTCCAGGGGCTAAGAGATTACGAACAGCACAATGGGAAGGACAGTCTCTGCCGCGGAGCCCAGAGGGGCAATTTTGACCCAGTTCACTCGGGCAGGACTTGGCCCCAGAGAAGAGGTCCATGGAGCCCCTGCATGAGCACACGGAGCAGAAGGAGGTTGGTGCTCAAGGTGCGATTAGCAGCAGGTTAGAAATTTTGCTAGATTCAGTTTAGTTTTATGAGAAGGAATAAGGGCACACTGACAGCCCTGATTAAATTTAAAGTTAGGGCTCCAGGGAGCACAGTCACCCTCGACCCCTGACCTCTCCTTTGGGATCCAAATCTGGTAAGTTCAATGCAAGGGCTGACCCAAGGCTCCCTGGATCACAGAGCCATTTGCGAGTCTATGAAATGTTGCTTTCCAAGTCCTCCCTGTTCCTCACTGAACACATTCCTTCTAAGGAGGCACAGATTCCCTTTCAAAGGCTCAGGCTGTCTTTCCAGGACTACCTTAGAGAGGTGGTGTCTGTCTGCCTCAAACTTCCTGTTGATGTCAACATGACCGGGCCACGGGATCTGCAAGATGGTGATGCAGGGGGAAAAATCAGGCCAGCTTGGAAGGGGAAGAAGCTTTGCTCATTTCTTCCTGTCCTAATATTCTCACTCAGAGCAGGGGTCGCTGTTTGCACAAAGCTTAAGTACTCTCCTGAGGCCTCCTCAATTCCTTCCAGCAACTGTTTTCCAGCATCTTAGTACAGCCCTCGCCTTCTTGCAGGAACTGCAGGGCAGGAGGTGGGTGTCCCAGGGTGACAGCAGGGGTGCAAGCAGGGGAGCATCTCCCACCAAGTTCATGTTCAGCAGACTGCCACTCACCGGGCAAGCAGACCTCAGAGCACAGCTTATTGTCCAGTGCTTTCACGCTTGCGATGTCAAAGTCATTGTTATTGTCACACTCCGTACCTAGAAGTGCACATGTCCTCTGGCCTGCAACGGAGTTAATGCAGTTAGAGAGGGGCTGGCTCTATTTTTCTCTGCTTTGCTGTCCTTAAAATAAAGATCTTAAGGATGGAGACAAAAAAATCAAATCACATGTTAAAAAAAAGACAGTAATTAAGTGGGTAAAGAGTGGACAATAAAGGAATCAAGTTGGGTGAGCCTGTTTGTGTTCTCGCCCTATTCTGCCCTGTTTCCCTAACTGGCCTCTTTCCAGCCATTGTTCAAACCACGGGCAGGGCTGTGGGATGCAGGCTACACAGAGCACTGTGACCGGAGCAGTCTGGCTGGGAAAGGCTAGGGAGAGCTCCTGGGGAGGTGAGCCCAGCTCCTGCCTGTGTGTCTTGGGTGTTGATGACCACAAGACTCTGAAAAATGATAAATACGTAAATCCACCACCAAAAGTCTTAGGTTCCATAATTTCACATATTAAATCAGAATCAACACATTCACAAAATTATTTGTTTTCAGATGAGACTTAATTTGTTATTTTGAGTATGTTTTAATTAAGAGATTGATCAGAAACCTACAGACATGTGAGAAGGAAGTGGAAAGTTTTAGACGTTATTTTTGTCAAGCTCCCTGCTTTTATTTCTTGGTGAAAGAGAGAAAACACAAATACACCATGTGGGCTGCAGAATGTTAGGTGGGAACTACCTGCCACCCTGTTTTTTAGCAGCAAACACTCTACAGGAGGACAGCCAGAAAGGGCGACTCGGAGCCTGGAACACTGAGGCCATCAGCCGGGTCAAGGAAGTGCCTGACCCCATCTCAGGCTGGCGGGCGCGATAGTGGCGGAGGCTCAGCCTTGGCACCGGCCCCTCCTTCAGGGCTCCTTGGCCAGACAACAGCGGCCAAGTCAGCATGCACACCCCCTGAGCCCCCAAGCAACGGCCAGCACTAAAGCAGAAGCAACTAGGATGACATCTGCATCCAGGCTGGGGTCAGGATGTGCTCTGGAGGCGCCCTTCTGTGGGCGCAGCAGGAGGCAGAGGCATGTTCCAGAATGTGTGGGGTCCTGTCCCCAGGTGGGGTTCCTGCTCCCTTGCTCTGTCGGGCATTCCTTCACTTCTAGCCTTACTAGACACAAAACTCTTCCAACTGAAGACGTGAAGGAGGCCTGAATCACACTAAAGAAAATGATCACCCTAAGCCCATCAAACCCTTTCCACACTCAGCTGCTGATGACTCTTTCCCACACCTTTGCTGTGCCCATGCTCTACGGTCCCTCCGTTACCATAATGTCAGCCATTTTCTTTTAAAGCAAATCCCAGCCAACTGCCTAGTCCTTCCTTCCAAGGGGAGGAAACTGTCTGCTGCTAAAGCTCGGGGCTGCCAGGGTGGCTCTGTGGGACTCAGCTGAAGAGCTGAAGCAGGAGGCAGGTGAGGGGAGCTGCCCACGGAGCTTTAGAATGTATTCCATGTAAATGGAGGCCTACTCGTGTCTTCTGCAGCACCCCCACCCATCCTGACATCTTTGGCTTTGAGGCCCAGAGAGGGCTGGGAAGTCCCCTCGGCCCTCAGGACCCTGCTTGTTTTGATACTCCGTCCAGATGACAACTTTTCCCCAACAGCCACACAGTTAAGTAGTACCACCAAGTCACACCAGTGCCCCTTTCTGTACGCTTTAAAGAAGACCCAGTAAAGAGAAATAACAATAGGGAGGAAAACACCAGGTCTTTTACCATCTTCCTGTGTGGGTGACCCGTCCTCTTCCTCTATAACATCGTTTCCCTACGACAGAAGAAGGTACTATGAGTCTATAAAGCAGTGTAATAAATATGTTGATGGGCTGAACATGGAACTAATTATCCTAATAGTATTTAACCCCAGGCCTGTGTCAATAGCATGCATTTCCATTCATCTGAGGTACCCAGGAGGCCGAGCAGAGGCAGATGTTGCTTGGTGAGGCCTGGGGCCCTACAGAGACACACCCTAGGAATGTCAGGAGTGGCCCTGCTAATAGTTTGGCTCATACTGTTTCTCTAAGGTGGACACAGAATCTGTCAAATGAAAAAGCAAATAGTGAGATCATAAAACTTTCAGGACTTCCTTAGGACGCCAAGCCCCATCAGATAGTCCTCTGGGAGCATCTGGCTGAAGAGGTTCTGGTGCCCTTGGGGTGAGGGCACCTCCCCGCACACCTTGGTCAGGGCACTTCTCATGCTGAACTGCAGTCCTGTTCCCCGACCCAGCCCCGACCTGGACAGGGCTCCTGGGTGGGTGGAGTACATGGGGGGCAGGGCAAAACCAGGCCACTTGGGTCTTTATGTCCCCCAGTGCCAGGAAGTGCCTGCAACAGTTGTCCTGTATAAATACTACATGAACAAGGACAAACACATTCTCAAGGTCTAGGGTCTGGCTGGGAAGAGCACCTGTTAGAACTCGCTCCCCGCCTGACACACAGATGCTCTTCCCTCTGCCCGCACCCCACCTCCAGTTGATCCAAGCTGTCACCCAAGTGGCCCCCCATCCTTCTGTATCTCCTGCAGCTCCATCAGGCCCCTGCCTGGGAGGAACACTGTGGGCCGCCGTCGGGGTTACCTCTGCATCCTGCTCCTCAGCAGCGAGGCCTACGAAGTTGCTGTCTGGAGACCCCACGGGCATCGCCTGCAGAACAGTGCTGAGCATCAGGTGCAGACCCGGCCACTCTCCGACCCCAACCACGTGCTCAGGGCAGAGGTGGTGCCAAACGCAGATCTGAGCGAATCTTCAACCCAGGGGCTGGTGGCTCATTTTCTGGGGCTCTCCTTCCAAGCACATGGGGACATCGCAGATAGCCCTGGCGGCTCTATGAGCTGCTTCGGACACGCGTGTAGAGCACAGGCAGCAAGGATGGTCCCCACGCTCCTCACTTACCTCTCCTTCTTCGGAGGGGGCCCTGCTGGAGGTCTGGGAGGAAGGGGGGGCCTCTCCCTCCTCTTCAGTGCCAGGGGCAATGTAGGAGCCGGACATGGAGGAGACCGTGTCGGTGCTGATCTGGGAGTGGCGGCTCTGGGAGGACACCATGGACATGACTGACTGGGCCAGGCTGCTGCTGGCAGGGTCTGTGGAGATGGGCGGAAGGAAGGAGAGGGGGTCAGGCGCCGTCCCTGTGAGCTGAATGAGGCGGCAGGGACCACATGGCCTCGCCTTGCCCTCACCAGGAAGGTTCCAGAGCTGTGGTTTTGCAAGGTTCTGCTCTTCTACACTTTGGAGCTCAGAACTCAACCTTAGGGACAAGGGATTTGGCTTTTCCTGTCATAATGTTAAAGCAAAACCTTATGAGGCAGGACTGGGAGCAAGACACCTGCTCCTCCCTGAGCTTTTCGGCAAGACTGCCATTCATCGTAGGAGAGCAAGTCCCCCAGAATCTTTAGTTGGGCCTGTTAGTCACATAGCTTAGGCACTGACTTGCTGCCCAAGTCCGTCCCTGGAGGGGCTATTCGGAGCGCTGTGGCCCAGGCTGAGGAAGCGAACATGCAGTTGCTCCCCTCCTCCTGTACCTTCTGGAGAGGAGATTGTAGAAGAGAGAGGCGTCCCTGTGCAGGACGACTGGTCGACAGCTCCTGATGATGACAAGGTAAGATTCTCACTCTCTGGAGTCACACCACATTTCTGGGGGAAGCAGAGGAAGCTTAAGTCAAGCATTTTGCAGGAAGGGTATGAGGGGCCCTGGGGGGACAGAGGCCCTACGGCCCCCACTGAGTTACATGCAGAGCAGGCAGGCCACTGCCTTTGTCACCACTATTCCCCCTCCCCGGCCTGGGCCACCCGCCTGCTCCCAGGGGAGGTGCAAACTTCAGTCAGCACATCCTGCCTAAGGCACAGCAGCTGCTAGGGCCACACAAAGACAGCAGCTCAGGTGACGCAAGTCACCCAGCAGCTGGGACCTGGGAGCACCCCAGGTTTCCCCAGTATTCTGAACAGCCTTCCTTCTGAAGGAAAAGAACACAGACCCAGCAGAGGCCTCGCTACCTGCTGGGCATCTCCACTTGGATGTTGGGGTAGTTCTGGCTCTATGCAATCAACTCAAACACCACCTCTGCACCCCAACCCACTTCTGGCTCCCTAGCAGTCACCCCATCCCAGGCCGAGGCAAAGCCCTGTGGATTCTGCCTCCACAGACTGATCCCCCTCCTCTAGGCACTCTTTATATTTTGTTCCAGGCCTTCCCTGCTGCCTGGGCTCCTGGACTAGAATCTGGCTCAGGCTGTCCCCATCCCCTGTCCACACACTGCCGTCCGGTGGGCCTTGCTGAAGGAAGTGCTCCCAGTACCACGGGCCTTCTCAGAGCCAGCCCCCTCTCTGTGCCTGTGTGTGTGCAGTCCCCTCAACTGGAAGGTTTCTCTCACCTTTCTCTACATGTCTAAAAATGTCAAGATTCAGCTCAAAGGGTACTCCTGCATAACACCTCTCTGAATTCCTCCCCTGAACGTGGCCTTTCACACCTCTGCTGCAGGACTTTATTGTCCTTGTTTTGGGTGCATGTATCTTCTCATTAAAATTCATTCACTCATTCATTCAACAACTCCTTACTGCGCAACGACTATGTGACCGACAGGGTGCTGCTCTTTGTGCATATGTCCCAGCCCAGCTAGACGGTGAACTCCTCATCTGCACGTGGTCCCCTGGGCCTGGCACACTGCCCTGCAGAGGGTGGGTGTAATAGCCTGTTGGGCCATCTGTGGGGGGGCACGGGGCCTGTCTTCCCCACTGGCTGTTCCCAGGCCCAGAGCCCTCTTTTCTCCAGCATCCGTCCAGCTGGCTCTCTTGCGTCCTCCCTGTCTGTTCATGGACCACTTTTCAAAGACTGCAAACTGTGTTCTCTGCCTCGAACTGCCTTCTCCCTTATCTGATGTACTGATCCACAGAACCATCTGACACACACATTTTTTTCTCACTGTCTTTTGTGTCTACCCTGCCCCAATGTCAAGAACATAAGGGTGCTCAGGGCAGGGGCTTGGGCAGTTTGCTCCCTGCTGCTATCCTCACACTGGGGCTGGGGCCTGGTGACTGACACAGGCTCAGTACACGGTTGGAGGAATGAGTCTAATGCAACCTTAGCTGCTGCCCCAGATAATGCTCCAGAGGTGTCTGATGATGAGTGAAAGCAGATGGGCCTGCAGAGGCAGGCAGGTGGGAGGAGAGGGCCTGCAGCCCAATGTCCAGGAACCGGAGGAGGAAGCAAATTACCTCTCCAAGTTGCTGAGCGGACGGTCTCTGAGAGAGGTGTGTCTCAGACTCGCTGCAAGAACGCTCATCCTCCTCTTCATGCAGCACCGAAGAGCTCTGGGAAATGGCCCTGTGACAGTCCCGCAGGGAGAGCGGCTGAAGCCCATGTCCAGGGAAAGAACAGAACTAGCCTCCCCTTAGCCAGCCTTCACAGGAAGAAGAGGCTGCACAGGGAATGAGGGGGCCCAAACAGAAGGGGTACGGGGGTGGGAAGAGCACCAGGAAGGGACTGAGACCACTTCTGGGTGTAAGACACCCGAGTTTTACCTTTAACTCCTCCAGTAGCTTGTGTGTATACTTAGAGAAGACAACTGACAATTTTAGGGGCTCAGTATTTCATCAATAAAATATCCTCCTTCACTCTGCCACAGAAAGCTTATCATGACTTGTGCTTGGTTGGACTTAAGTACTTAACAGATACAGATGACAAGCTTCCTGCAGCCTTCAGACTAAGTGAGGCTTCCCGGGGGGCCTGAATGACCCTAACGAGGTTGTCTTCCCTATACCCTATCTCCTCCCCCAAAAAAGAACACCTCGGAGATTTGTCTATCCAGATCCTCCTAAGGACCTGTATGCCATCTCCTTTCCTCTCCTAAAGGATAGGATAACCTTCCCCGCAAGTGTCAATCCCAGGTCTTCACTGCCAGTGACCCAGGCTGCGAGCCAGCACTGCAAGAGGTGAAGGATGGACTGAAAGTGCCTCATCCAGGCCCCCAGGGCCACTGCTGCTGAGTGCCAGCTACTCACTTGGAGAGACTTTTCTTGAGCTTGAGTCCTTGGCTGCTGCAGTCAGACAGGCGGTCAAGGGGGGAGAGAGTCCTGACGGGGGGCAGATGGCCATCGCTGCCGTAGGAGGGCAGCATTCCTGAGAGGTGGCCATCTCCAAGCACGTGGAGTGGAGGGACGGCTGGGGATGGGGTGAGGGGCCCATTGAGGGCTTCCAGAAGAGACACTACTTCATAACCTGGTGGAATGTTCTCTGAGGACTACGGGAATCAGACACAGGTTGAAAAATTAATTAAATACTCTTTGTTTTATGGCATGATCATGTTTCTTATTCTACACTGGAAAAATGTTTTCTTTTACATGTGGCCTGGGGTCAGGCAAGAAAAGCTGCTGTTCTAGAGGTCAAATAACCATGCGTTCCTATAATCTGCTTATAGATGAACTTCTTCTTAATAATTTTTCTGATTGTAATAGAAATATACATTCATTAGAGGAAATCTGGAAGATATGTGAAGGTAGAAAGGAGGAGAAAATATCATCAATGAGCAAATCACCCAAAGTAATACCTTTTATTATTGTTCTGGTGTATTTTCTTCCTGTTTTTTTCCTCTGTACTGTTTATCAAGTTCTAATCTATCTGTTTATGTCATCAACATACTTTCCTTCATATCTGTCTCCTTTCATAGTTACCATAAGTTTCCCAACTGTTCTACTAGTGCTGGGAATTTAGTTGCATCCAGCATTTCCTACTGTAAAAAACATTTTGGTAAATTATCCTTGTGCATGACTCTTTTCACAGTTTCTTTTCTTGGTATTAAATTCTTAGACCTTAGGCTACCAGGTATAAATGTTTTTAAGGCTCTCGATACATACAGCTGTTTTGTTTTGTTATTTTCAATTATCTTTCTAGTTACACTCCAGTAAGCAGAACAGAAACCTATTTTAATTGCTTCTCTGCCAGCTTGGAGTAGCTTTTAAAAAGACTTTACATTTAAGAGGTGAAAAATAGTGTCTCATTTTATTTTGCATATGGTTGATTTTTAAAAAAACAGTTGTTAACCAGTTATGTTTCCTCTTTCGAGGATTAAAAAACTATATCCTTTGCTCATTTATTTACTGTTTTACTCATACAAGCAAGGCAAAGATAATTAACCTTCTCTTGTATATAAATGTTGCGAACACATTTCTTTTTCTTTAAATGAGTTGTTTGCCTTTCAATTTTGTTCATCTTCTACACATCTGAAGTTTTACATTTTTTATGTAGTAAAATCTGTACACTCCATTTTTTTGTAGTGCTGCACTGCTTTTAAGCTTGGAGAGTCCTCCCCCATCTAAAGTCAACTAAAGAATCATCTAATATTTATTCTAGGTTTTAATGTTTTGTTTGTTTTGCTTTGCTTTTAATATAGTTAACTAGTTACTCCATCTGGAATGTATTTGTTATCCAGTAAGGAGTAAAGTGCTAAAACTGATTTTTCTCCCTGAATAGCTAACTAATTATTCCAAAACCATTTACTGAAAAATAAGTCACTTGCACTAGTGTGTTAATCTAAAGACTGTACCTGTTAGTCCATAACTACAAAGCTTCGAGGATTTACTCTAACACTATCACTTACACTGTGAAACCAAAGGGAATCATCTCATCACCTTGGCTCCCAGTTACTGAAGCCATGAAATGGGATAAAGTAAACAGTTACCTTCCTCAAGGATTCAGATAAACGTAGTAAATTGTATTCACATCCAAAACAATCATCCCCTTGTTTCTGCTTGGGGAAGTTCTGGAGTTGGACCCCACTGGAGTGAAACAGCAGGCAAACTACTGCTACCATGGTAAATATTCACTGGACATGGAGTCCCCAAGGAGGAAAAGGGGAGTTTTAATGATCATTATCTGATTTTCCATTACAATATTGGTTGGTTTTAACAGAACAGGATCTAGGCCAGCTAGCTAGATACTTCAGCATGCCAAAGTTTAATTATTTTTCTATGAAGTCACATAAAGAAGGAGGAAGGGTGGGAAAAGCCAGCAAGGAGACTACAAAGCGCTAGTTTCACAGGGCGCTGTGTTTCCTGCCCGACTTACTGAATGCTCTTCTGAGTCAGATGTCTGGGATGAGATGATGGGGTTAAAACTGGTTGGAGACAAGGGGCCCAGTTTTTTCCTCATGGCTCGAATCTGAAGCAGAGCCCGAAAGGCTGTGAGGAATAAAACAGGCAATCAGGTTGTCCTGATGCAGGAGTCAGGATGAGCAAGAGCCCAGACAGACCGCCGTCCCTCCTCCCAGCGCCCAGCGCTGCTGACACAGCAAGCCCAGCCACTGCCCTGCGGCTCTGGGGCTTACGGAGTCGGCAGATGGGACAGTTGTTGGCCTGGTAGCGCAGCGTGTCTGCACAGGTGTTACACAGGCAGAGGTGACGACAGGGCAGAATCAGGGTGTCCCGGACATCGGAGAGGCACACCACACACTCGGCACTGTTATCGCTTACTTCATCCTCAGCCACCTGGCCGGAGAGACAGAAGTTTAGCCAATGACGCAAACACCTTCACGTCCCATGCTTTCTTTACAAGGCAGCCTGTCCAAGGAGCTGAGACAAGCAGAGAAAGTCTTAGGTTCACATTGGACTTGACAGTTTCCCAAGTGTGTTCACATACTCAGTTCACCTATTCTGGGAGCTGCTTCTCTCCAGCTCATCCTGTGGGGCTCAGACCTGGTCCTCTCTTGACAGGCTGAGCCGAGGGGCCTAGCGGGCTGCCCAGGGAAGAGCCAGGGAAACAGAGTGCACGGGGCTCCTGAACTTATCCTGACCCGCCTATTGCCCACATTCCCAAGGGCAGTCCTCTGAGAGGGGGAACAAGAAAATACCCTCCTCAGACCAAACTGACTGTGGAGTTTGGCGGGCTGAATTCCTAGGTCCTGGCTTTATCACAGAATTTCTCACTCTGCCTCCTGGGAAAAGTACACTCAGAATTTTGAATAGAACTTACCTTAGACTCTTGTGTGTTGTATTTGTTTTCAATTCCATAGATCTCCTGAAGTAGGTAGCTGACCCCGTCTACCTGAAAAGCAAACAGAAATGTTCAAGGGCAGGCTGACTCTACTGAGAGTTAGGAGTGGGAACTGACACCCCAACCTTCTCTAGTAACCAAGGACTACTGATTCACAATGAAAAAAATCAAAGGCCTGGACAAGTAAAGGATGCTTTTATTTACTTATGCATTTTCTTTGGGAGGGGAAGAAAACCAAACATTTAATTCATCCACCACCATACCCAACAGGGAACATGACGGTTCACCAACACAATAGCAGTTGTACTGCAGTTCACTACCACAGGCCATTAAGAGGCATAGGCCACAAAAAGGGCAGAAGAATTTGCATCAGAACATTGCAACAGCTACGTCATACAAGCTGAGTTCGGACATTATAGAAATAAAGGAGTGGAAAGGAGAAAGAAAAGAAATGGACAAGGACAGAGAGGAAAGGGAAATTCAGAAGAGAAGAAACAGCAAGACTGGGCCCCACCACTGCCACAGAGCCCTCATGTCCCACACATCACATTCCCCACCACAGAGCCCCCAGGTACAGCACATCCCCCACCACGAGGCCCCCCTGTTCCTCACCGCCCCCCACTATGTAGCCCACCATCACCAGCACATCGCTCACCACAAAGCCCCCGATCACCAGCACAGCCTCCCACAACAGAGCCCACCCATGTACAACACACAGCAAAACTACCCCTCTGGGCCCTGTTTCTTAAAATCCCAACTTCAATACCCAATTCCACTCCCTCCGGCCAGGGCCTCTTCAGAACAGAGTTTGCCCTTCCCTCACTTCTTGATGTGAGCTCACTCTGTCCTCGGCCTGGCCTCTGTTCTAGCGTCCCCGCACTGAGACCCAACCTGTCACTGATCTCATAGCCCGCTGGCCAGTTTGACGGTCTGTTGCTAATGCCAATCTAGCAACAGGAGAATAGGTAAACCATTCTCCCCGAGCTACCCCAGCCTCACCACCGTATCCAGGTGTCCTGGAGAACCAGGCCGCCCGAAGAGGCAACTCACCAGGCTTGTACCTGCGCCTTCCTAGGCAGTACCCCGGGCTCAGGATACGTCGCCTCCTCTGCCACTCTTAAGACTTGTTTTAATCTACTGATTATATGGGAAAGGAGATTATCAACAAATTCACGCTAACGTATTATAGACTACTACTGACCTCATCAAGAGGGGAAAATAATGGACATCGTAGGATTTCAGCGATCTATCGCCATCTGCAGGGGGACCTGCCAGCACCACTGGCACCCTCCCCCTTCTCACCCTCTGCAAGAGTGGAAAGCAAGCAAAGTGCTGGCCCACAGCAGGGGTTCGCACTTCTAGCGGACATATGCATAACCTGCTGATCGTTGTGGAAGGGGCCAGAGGGCCAGCAAACTTGGAATGTTAGAAAAGCAATGGTGGGATAAATTAGGCCAAGGGCTGTAATTGGCCCAGATTTGGACCAACACTTTGTCCTCTAACGTGAAATATTTTTTACCCTGGCATTTTAGATAAAAAGAATTCTCCCCAAACCTAATGTCAGGGGACAAATCCTATCCTTTCATTTCTCAAGCCCTTTGCTCAGAGAATGGCTGCCTCAACACCAAAAATCAGTATTCCTTTCAGGCCACCCAAGTAGTTTCTAACACACAAAAGCACTCCCTCTTTTCTTTTCTTCTTTTATTAACAAAAAGAGGGTGGGAGGGAAAGAAGAGGGCTTAGCAAACAGAAAAAGGAGAGAGAGAGAGAGAGAGAGAAGTGGGGGACACCAGCAGTCCCTGGCCATCAAAGACTTACCACTTGTTTCTGTTTGAGAGGCTTGACGCAGAAAGTCCCATCTGTGTGCTGGAATGAAAATATGACAGTTGTGGCCAGGAAGAGGGCTCCTGGACAGCCGGGTGGGGAGCAGCGCTGGTAACACGGGGCGCCCTCCATGCGGCTAGTTTGGGCCTCCCGTTTTAAGAAGAAATGAGGTCTGAGGAACTGAAGGTGGTACAGCAGGTTGGTGGCAGAGCTGGAACCAGCCCCCAGGGCAGCCCCCAGGGCTCCTTCAACCTCCACCACTGCCACACACACCAGATCCATCCTGCCAGGCCCAGCAGTCACAAATAGGGGTGACACACATGTCCTCACAGGAAAGAGGCAAATGGCATACAGTGAGTCACTCTGTAGTACAGTGACTCACTTACCTTTTCAAAAGTGCCCAGCAGGACATGGCAATGGCCAAAATACTCTGAAAGAAAAAAAGGCACAGGGGTGAAGAAGGAAGCCAAATGGCATGCCCTGGTGCTCATCTCCCTTCCCCAAGTCCCTGCAATCTGGGCTGCTGCAAGAAGGGGCATGATAGGACACCTAGGCCCAGCAAGCCAGGGAATGCAGGTGTGAGCGTGAAGGGACGCAGAAACGGCCTGATCCCCAGAGAAGGCATGCTGCTCCCACGCCGCGGTGCTGCTGGGCCGTGCGCACAAAGGCATGTGCGCAGCCAGAGCAGACAGAAGGCGCCCATACCGTCGCCTTCGTCCACCACAGCATGGACCACCAGCGGGTAAACCTCTCGGTCCAGATCAAAGCCAAGCTGAGGGAAAAGAGAAGACAAAAGAAGGACTTGCCACGTTGAAACGGCGGCGCAGTGACCCACCAGGAGGGAGGTGCTGCCAGGAAGCACCGGCCTCACCCCTGCTCCTCCCTCATCAGCCCTTCGTTAGTAAGTCTGTTTAAGTGAAGGCCCCCCGTTTCTTCTTCAAATTCTCTTAGATGTAGAATTCTCTAACCTGCATGTTCTTTTCTTGGAGCAAAGCTTTCTCAAAACATACTAGGTAAATAGGCTGCTTTGGAATAAAAAACTCAGTGAGGCTAGGCGTATCCTTTTGAGGACATGACTGAGCTACAGGCTGAAGGTGAGCACGACCTTCAAACTCCAGGCGGGGCCCTAAGCAGCCCTCAGACGTGCTGGAGTCCCTGTGAGGAACCTGCCCTCGCGCTTTCTCCCGGCGCAGCCCACCTCCTCCTCCGCCCACTCGGCGGGGTCCACGGTGTGCGAGGGCAGGCAGAACTGCTGGCACACCCCGCGCTTGTAGTGCACTGTCTCCGACTGCAGGCTGTCGTCTTTGGGGATGTAGCTATGATCAAAGCAGGAGGCAAGGCAAAAGTTAGTATCCAACCCAGACAGATCTGACCATTTCTTCTGCCTCATGCCCGTTCTCAATTATCAACAGACTCTAGGAAAAGAAAAGAAAAGGAAAAAAGAGAGAAGATAGAAGAGAAAAGACCTCCTTTATAATCTCTTTGGCTCTTGTTTAGTAATACTATCAAACGTCTAATTCAACCCACACATCCAGAAAGGGAGCTCAATGGGTTTTAACAGCATCTTGATGATCTGAAAAGCTGTGCTGCCACCTGCCACAGGACCAAGGTGGCACAATTTGAGGGGAAAGGTGAAAAAGCAGGGGCTCTGTCAAAGAAAATCCAAATTTAGGATTTCACCTGGTTGTAGAAATAGAATGTCTTCCTCCCCAGGTGAGTGCGTAAGGTATGAGCCCTAGCCTGTCTGGGAAGGCAGCGGCTCACCCGGTCTGTTCCTACCTGGCAATCCCATTCTGGAACTCTTCAGTGGCCTGATAGTAGATGGTGATGGCCACCCGAGCGTCAGTGTCAAAGGTGAACTCCACATTGTAGTGGACTTTAGCTTTGCCTGTCTCTTCTCCAGGGGCCTTCACTTCCTCAGCACACCTAGAACACCACAAAGACTCAGCATTTGTGGGGTAGCAAGTCATTATTTTAAAATTTGTCTTTTTTAAAAAAATTTAATCTATTGTGGGCTTCCCTTCATGATCATAAACCCAGGCTACACCTTCACTTTGCACCATGGCAGGGTGCCCCGCAGCACTCTTGCTGGGCATTTAGGCATTTCTCATATTCCACAGGGCTACAATGAACACCCTTGTGTATTTGCCAGATTTCTTTTTTAAATTTTCACTGTAATCAAAGTTACTAATCACATGGTTTAAATAGTTTCCACAAGGCTTGCTACCAAACACAGCAGGCCCCTCTCTATCCCCTCACAGGAGACCACCTTTACCTCTTCCAGCTGATCACTTTGGCATTTACCTGCATGTTTCTAAATAACACGCTTAGGTTATCACTGGAGTTTTCAGCCTTAGGCAGCATCATCTATTAGCTTCCTCCTATGGGAATGAGGATTCCTTTCCCTTTCCTCGTTCTGTTCCCTGTAAGTACTCCCCCATTCCCCACCCCCCAAGGGGCTACATCATGATTTTGTTAGTTTAGTACAGTATTGTCTATGTCACTTTGATTATATCAACATCGTTCACAGCCTAGCCACAGAGAAATCTCTGATTGTTTTCCTGCGTAAGTTTTTCTTAAGAGTTCATGCTTTTTTTTTTTTCCAGTTGCTCAGTTTTTTGAGTACTTTTATCACTAATTCAAACCCCAGCTTTCTGCTGCTTGTCTAAACTCTCGCTCAGATGCATTGCATGTTCTGTGCATCTCGCCCTCCCGAGGAGGCCCTTCTGGAGCCCTCTTTCTGGACCTGCACCATCAGGACCCTGGGGCCTCTGTGCCTGCGCACAGCTGCTGCGCTGGACTCCCCCTCCCCCATCAGCCTGCGGAGTCCCTTTTGCCTTCCTCCTGGATAATCGCATGTTTCCTGCATCTCCTAGCTTCCTCTTTTTTGGGCTAAATTTTCACTGACACCTCCCACTAGCTTCCTGAAAAGGGGCATATTGGAAGGACACACTTTTCAAGAGATTTTCTTCTACAGTCACACTTCACTGAAAGTTTGACTTTTAGCTTCCAGTGTTGCTCACAGGAAGTAAGAAGCCATTCTGATTGTTGATCCTTTTTTCCTTTGATATAGTATCTCTGCCTTATCATCCAGTGTGCTGGGCACTCAGTGGTTCTTTCTATTTAGAAACTTGTGTCTTCTAGTTCTTGGATGTTTTCCTAAATAAGGTATGTCATTGATGATATCCTTCCTTCCATATTCTCTGCCTCTTTCTAGAACCATTAGTTGGATGTTGGACCCTCTAACCAGTGCTCGATTCTTCGTATCTTTTCCTTTCTATTTTCCATATCTCTGCCTTTTCACTCCACTTTTTAGAATATTCCAATTTTTAGTCCTACATCCTATCAAGTTTTTAATTTCTGCAATTATGTTTTAAATTTCTTGGTGCTGTTTTTGTTCCCTAAATGCTCTGTGTCATTGCACCCATGAAATAACACTATCTTTTCTATGTCTCTGAGGCTATAAATGAAGTTTTTCTCTTCCTGCACAGTTTTATTTCCACTCAGTTATTTTTTTCCCTGTTGGCTTATTTTGCCACTGTATTTCATATTGTAGGCATTTCTTACACATCTAGGGATCTTTGGTTGTCTGCCCATATTTAAGAAATTTAAAATCCCTGATTGGAATTCTTGAGTGTGTAGCAGGGTCTGGGGCCTCTGCTCGCCCAGGGCAGATCTGGGTCTGTCAGGAATCTCCAAGGCCAGTCTCTGTGGTCTTCCCACCTGAGCCAGGTCCGATTCCCTAGAAAACAGTTTTCGTCTCTTCTGACAAAAGCCTGGACGACAGCACTCTGGGGACAGAGTAGGAGGGCTGGCCCGAGGGCTCAGTGTGACTAAATTCACTAAACCCCCATCTTTAGTCCTGAGTCCGGCCCTTAGCTGTGCCTGGATATTCCAAGTTCAGAGATTCTCCACTTTAGCTTTTCCATTGCGAATCATTACCAGCCTTCTGCCAGGGTGTGGAAGGCAGTTCTGATTGTGCAGTGCAGGTGAGAGGATCCGATACTGTTAGGCAGCTGTTCCGTTAGCCTTCCCCCGACATCCCAAGGTACCTAGTGCTGCCAATGCCTGAGCCTTTTGGGGACAGCACAGTGCAGAGTGGGTGATTCTCAGCTCTTCCTTCTGTTCACTTAGGATTCTGATTTCTTGGGTTTACTATACTAAGTCACTTAACAGTCACCATCTGTTTCCAGCCTCTATAATTTTGGCGCTCTTGCTCCTTTCCCATTCTCCCCGTTCTTCTGGATTTATGCTTGAAAAAAATACTCTTTGTATTCTTTAATGGAATTTTGACAGGAAGTAGAAGTAGATGTTCAAATCTCCATCTTTACCTGGAAGTGTGTGAATCAGAATTCACTGTATTCCCATAATCAGAAGAAAAAAAACACACCCTTCATCTTAACATTTATTGAACACCAGTGTTTCCCCTTCCATCAGCTCACTGAATTTTGAAAGGTAAGGCTTATTACTTTTTACACATGAGAAACCTGAAACTCAGAGACTTATCTGAGTGATTGTCCACAGACCCCAGAAGTGGCATGCCACACTGCTTCCCTCCATTCTAGAGCTTCGGCCAGGCTGCCACATCAGAGCCAGGACTTCGCAGTCACTCAGGCCCTTGAGCCTGTCTCCATCAAAGAGCTGAGCAGCCCATACGTGATGAGAGGAACAGAGTGGACACAGTGGTCGACAGCTGGCAGGCTCCAGAGGCCTCCTCAGCGTCAGGCTGTTCTGCTGCTGTAGGATGCTTCCTGGGCACCCTCATGCCCAGGGCTGACGCCACAGGTAGGGGAAGCAGTTAAAAGGTCAGGGACAAATAAAATATATAAAATTTAAGAGAGTCCGAAAATAGGTTAGTGGTTGCTTAGGGCTGGAAGAAGGGTTCCGGGGGAAATAGGGAGTCACTGCTGGTGTACTTCTTTGGCAGTGATGAAAATGTTTCCGCCTTAGATAGCAGGATGGCTGCGCGACTCTGTGAATGTCCTTAAAACCGCTGAGCTGCATGCTCTAAATGGGGGCATTGCATGCTATGTGGATTATATCTCAATAAAGTTGTTACATTTAAAAAACTATCAGAGAAAAATAAACTTCCTAATGCTAATAGAACCGACCTATACAAGCATAAAAACAGCCTGGGCCATCTTCCTTGTCCACTCATAAAAATTGGGGATCTCTGATTTGCCCGAGCCAGATCCGGCAGATACATGTGCCATGTGGAGGGAGCACCAGTTTAGAAGTTACTCTGTCTGGGGGAGGCAAAAAGAAGGCCAATGTTGATGACAATCAATGTTGAGGATGATGATTAAACAACAGACTGAGGCCACTATGAGTTCCTCAGGGGAAGTTCTCATGAGATGACAACTAAGTTAAAAAGTAAACATGCACAATAAAATAAGGATTTCATATTCCAAGTTCAAATATCCCATTTTTACACAGGTTTGCTGAGGTATCTGCAAAATTCACTTTTCCCCTCAATGATTCTTCTTACTTGAAAAAGCTTCAGAAAACAGGGATAGAAATGAGCTCTTCCAGGAATGTGAAAGTTCTCCACAAGCACACATTGTCGCACAGACTTTGGAACCATTTGGATGCGGGAAGACCTACTCTGCGTGGAAGAGGTGCTGCCCTGTCAGCGCCAGAGGAGTTCACGCCCTTGAGGCCTGGCATCAGGTTCGCTTGGCCTCTTGGGTTAGCTGGTGGCCCCTCTGCACAGAGGGGTTCTGGAAGCTGGCCGGGGCCCCCCAGAACTTACTTGACGAGCCTTAGTGTGTCCTTTCGGATGTTGATCAGGCTTCTCAGAGTCTTCACTGGCTCTTGGGGAGGTGGGGCAGCATAAGGAAACTGTCAGAAACAAAGTGGGAGAGGCAGTGTGTTTACAAAGACCGATCACTGTCAGTCCCTGGTGCAGGGCTGAGAGGCTGACAAAGAACAGCTATTGTCCTAACCAAGTGAGGACACTGAGACCCGAAATACTAAGGCAACTTGCTAAAGGTCACAGTTAGCGGTAGAACTGGGATTCTATTTGGCATCGAAAGAGCTAGATTTATCTGCTTTTTCCATTATGTGAAGCTTATTTGAGTCAGCATTCAAAATGTGGCTAACTAATAAAAACTCCTACTGAAGTTCCAAATACCAAAGGACGCACCGTGGCCGAGTTAATCACAAAAGGCTTTTCCATCTGACCTGAGACGACAGGGAGCCAGACCTACAAGGCTTTTCCTTTAGTGAAGCCACATGGTGTCTTAGGAATTTAAGAACTGCAAACAAAAAGAGAAGCCCACCATGTGTACAGAGCTGAGGCCTGCAAACAGTGGAGAACAAATTTTCCTTGCAGCTGATCACATACAGCAGAGTTCTTTAAAATGTGAGCCAAGAGCTATTTTGGGGTCATCAGAGGTTTATGGTTGTCCATCAACTACCTTATACTTTCTCTTTCCCCATTTGGACATACGGATTTGGAGTTCTGAGTTGACGATAATGAGATAAGGAAGGGGAAACAGTAAAAATTTAACTGGGAATTACTTTCAGAAGGTTAAGAACGACTTAAAATATTCCCAGTATTGTTCTAATGTTGTTTGGGCAGTAAGCATTCTTTTACTTTTAACTCACAGAAAACCTACTAGTCTTTGCAGCTTTGCAAAGTGGTGGGACTCCCAGCTCTAGAGGAATCTATGTCCTAGTGCTGGGATTGGAAGATGGACCCCATTGTGGTACTCTAATTGTGCCTTCACAGATATTCGCTGAGTGTGGATATTTTATTTGGGAAACATAATTTAACCTAGGGTACATCTGGTCTTATTTATTCAGTATGATTGCTGGTAATTCATATGTGTGAATGGGATGCTTGATACACTCAATCTAAATTATGTGCACCCAGAGCACTCACCTTGTGGGTGTTATATAGCAACATTTCATCTTAGCAATATATTAAACATGTTCTTTTAAAATAAATGATAGCTGGTTTTTCTAATTACAAAGCAAAATGTTCAGTTCAAACGGAAAACACAAAAAAGTACAAAAGGTGCCATAGTTTCACCGCTCAGTGATACCAAAGTTAATACTGTAGAACGTGTCTCTCCCGACAGGATTCATCTGTCATTTCTCTCTCCATCCATCTATCTACCTGCCCACATACCTGCCTCTATATCAACGCACTGTTTCAAACCGTGCATACTATTTTATAGTCTCTTTTTCACTTAGGAAGACATGGTAAACATTTTTAAATTCTGTGATTTGACAACATGACTGTGCACACTGCAGACAGGAGCATACTTTATTAAACCAGTTCCACGTTATTCAGTGTTCTGAGTTGATTTTACTTTTTTTTTGCTGATATCAATGTTGTGGTGAGTGCCTTGTCCCTACATTTCTTCATGTTGTTTGATTATTTCCTTAGGACAAATTCCTGGAAGTGGAATTACTGGATCAAAGAGTAAGCATATTTTTAAGACTTTAAAAAATATTTTGCCTAATTGTTCTCTAGAAAGCTGGTTCCAATTTGCCTTCCTGCTAGCAGCATTTCAGGAGGCTTTTATATAGGAAAGCTGAAGTTCAGACCTTATTTGTGGCCTATTTCTCCACCCCCTACTTTCCTAGGCTGCCACACTAAAGGACTTGAAAACAATTTTTAAATAAGCTTAAGCAAAAAGTAATTAGGCAGGAAAATCTGACACAAATGCTAGTTTACCCTAAAGCCAAAATAAATGACTTTAGGATTAACATTTTTTTTCTGGAGTAGTAAAGCTAATCATATTCATTTGCACAGGTACTTAGGAGTTATCCATGACTCCTACCTGAGTTTAAAAAAAAAAAGGTTCTTCCTTTCCTCTTTGTCCTTTCTCCTCCATAGCCCCTGAAGGAAAGAAAAGGAAAAGGGAAAAAATCCCTAGTGTTCTTTGTCTTCCATTTAGAATACTCCCTGAGCCTGAATTCTCTGTCATAATGGTACCGACCCAGAAGGTTTGGTCCATGAGTCCCCCAAGCAGACTTCCATTCTTTGTCTACTAGTCTTTATCTAAAGCCTGTCTTCATTATGAAAAGTGAAAGAGAATCCTAGAGGCTGCATTTAGGTATCCTTCATCAGGCTGTTAAGAGCATATTCACTCCAGAATGATAGCTGAAAAATGGGAAGGCATTCCGTGAGCCCACACTGAGCTAGAGGCAGGACATGCCTTATAGAGGGCTTGGCAGCCTTCCCCCCATCTGTGGGTCTGGTGGTGTGTTATGTACAAGACAGAAAAGGCTACTTCTCCCCATTTACTAGCCTAGCTGTGCCAGGGTGGGTGTATCCAAGTGAAAAGGCTCCTTCTGGTCTTCCTGGTCACCACTCACCCCCTAACTCAGCAGTTGTTAACTGAGTACCTCCTGTGTGCCGGGCATCATGCTGGTTCTTTAAATATATATATTTTTTGTTTTACAGATACTAGTAAAATGTAAAATACATGTAACATGAAATTTATCACCTTAACCATTTTTAAGCATACAGTTTAGTGGCATTAAGTACATCCACATGTGCTACCATCACCACCATCTAGCTCCAGTTTAGATACATTCTTATTTAATATTCTCCATACGAACAGAGGTGCCTGCCATGCTTACTAGATCGTAAGCTCCCAAAGGACAGTCTGACACATAGGAGGAACTAAGAAATATTTTAGTTGACTGAATAAATGAAGAATGTCAGTATTAACAGTCTCATTTTGCAGATAAAGAAACTGAAACTCAAAAGATTATGTACTTATTGAAGGTCACAGGGCTAATGAAGAGCAGAATCAAAATTCGAACCCAGAACCAGGATTTGAATCCAAATGCCGTGCTTTCCATTGCAGCTGCTTCAGCTACTGCCAGGAAAGTTTACAAGTTGTTCTGATTCTGAGGGTGTTCTAGGAACCTGAGTAGAATGTAGAGCCTGACAGTTAAACAATCACTGTAAAAGGTACTGAATCCTGTTTAGGTTCTGGAAGCTGGTCAGAACTCTGGATTGCAGTCTTACGCTCAGGCGGTATACACAAAGGCATACCTAATGCCACACTCCTTTAAAATTTAACAGGAATATCTAAGGTCTTCTCAGAGAAAAGCTTTCTTGGAGCACAGCATGACAAAATCCTTTTCTCTGTCAGGTCTAACAGCACGTGCAGAAGACACAAATGTACATTCACGGCATGACAGTGTCCGAGAGCACTGCCAGCAACTGCCACACAGGGGTCCCTGTTCACCTCCGCCTCAGATACTGGGATGTGTTACTGACAGATGCTGCCGAGCACAGTGGTTTCTCCTCTAATTTACTTTCAAAGGACAAAGACACATACCCACCCGTTCAACCCCTTCACGCAGCTCTGAGTATGGCGCTGGGCCTGGATTCAGGCACCGACCGACCACACCTCTCTGGTTCCACTTGTGAGGGGCCTAAACCATGACAGCTCGCGTCGTGCGCGCTTTGCACTGGGTATGGCACCCTGCCTGGGCTGGCCAGCTTGTGTCTCTATTGAAGTAAGACCAAATCTCAGAATAATTTAAATCCCAAACACCTCAAGCTCAGGACGGGAGACAGTATGGGCCCAAGGGAGTTACGAGTCAAGGCTCTGTGTGAACTCTGAGCAAGTTTCTCTTGGGTCTTTTGTCCCAGTGTTGCTCGGTCTCCTTTCACATTGCCTTCCATCGGCAAAGTGCCACCTGCTGGCCAAATGTGGGGCTGCAGTTTAGAGGAACAAAAGTGTGCCCTGGATGTGTGTGTGTGTGTGTGTGTGTACGTATGTATGTATGTATAAGCCACATACCCTAGATTTTAAAAACCATTCTAATTTCAAATATTTTGTTAAATACGTTTACAGATGCACACACGTTTTTGTTGTAGAAAATATAGCCACAATGCTGAGATAACAGGATATCTTATTTCAATTGTAAATTATTGGGCCATTCCCAGTAGTCTACAAAAAGACTATAATCCATTCATAAAATAAATAAGTAACTTCAATAAAACATCTTTTAAGAAGTACACTATTTGCTAACATTTGCTATGAGATTCAGTCCTGATCATATGCACAGAGTATCCCAGATTTGGCCACTGGGCACTCCTTCGGGTTGACTCTGCGTCCTCTGAAACGGCCATGTCATTATTTTTAGCACTTCCTTACTTTCTGGTACCACAAGATATTCCAGGTTCAGTCTGTGTTTTTCCTCTCCTATCCTTTGAACTGATCATGTCTCCAAGGTGCCCTGGTTCCTTTTTCAAGTCTACCTCACACCATCATTTACTCACTCATCTTTTACTGATGAACACTTGGCCTGTTTCCAGTTTCACTACTACAAATAATGCAGTGAACATTCCTTGAAAGGAATCTTAATAGGAAAGGGGAGGGGGATGAGTAGTAAAAGAAAAACACATTAAAATGCATGAATGCAATTTTTACTTAGGAAAGAAAAGTCCCAAATGCCAAAAACCTGCTTCCTAACAAAAGGAAATTATTTTAGACAATGTATAGTTCAAACAGAAAAATACTCATTTTATATATTAGCAGTCATGTAATATTTGTGCCAAAGAATCTAGTAATTGTTACTATGGAAACCAACATCCATGGTCATATGAATAACTCATTTACAGCACTACACAAATGCTTTCTTTTGTAGATTTTAGGGTTTTTACATTTAAATTTCAGTTCCTTTTGATATGATGCCTGGTTATTTTCTCAGCTTTCTCTGCTTCCCCCCTTCTCAGATATGTAGTGTGTCTAAGACTCACCAGTGGTATTTTTAGACAGGTGACGCTTTAGAACATTTTCTGATATCAGTGTCAGGGGAGAACAGTTTAACTCTGCTTGAATTCTGGAAAATGAATACAAATT